GGTGATTCACTCCATTCTTGAGGGCGGACATTATGGCCTTTTCTTGGCATATTGACGTGACCACGCTTCATAGTTTTCACTTCTTATCCCACTTCTGAGATGTAACAGTTATTAAAATAAAAGAGGGTAGAAAACTATAAGCACAATAATTTTATTTAATTTTAATATTTCGACAGCGTTTCGTCTTATAAGAGCGGTATTATAAGAACTCCCAAAAATGAAGTTGTAAGGCACTATATAGCTGGACCCTCTACCAGAGGCATCCGGTAATTAGAGTGGTGGCTTTGGTTTGGCTTGGCTACGATTGGCTGGCTTGAATGGTGCGCTGTGATTGGCTGTGGCGGTGTGGCGTAACATAGGAATAGCAGGAATGCGTAATTTTTCGATAGTTAGATTATATATTTAAGTAGACAATATAGTTTTAAAAAAGGTCGATAAAACCAAAAAAAAAGACTTTTCATAAATTTTGTTATATTTTGCATTATTGTATAATGTAGATTTAAATTAAATAAATGCTTTCTGCGCCATCTCTTTTCTGTATGGGTATTTATCATTAGGCCAAGATTCTTTAACATATTTGTAGGTATTAATAACCATGTTTTTTTTTCATTCATAGTAAAACTAGTCACCTAAAATTAAATTAAAATGATATACATACTTTACTTACATGCATCTTTAATAAATTAAGAAAAGTTTTATTATTACAGTTGGTGTTTTTTAAATAACTTTAAAGTACAGTCCAAACCAAGAAATTTTAATTAAAACTACTAAACATTCATATATTATATCATATTCATACCTTTGGACGTTTTTTCGGACAAGTAAAATCTGTTGTAATTAAGATATTAAAATTTAATTCGCAACCCTCCGCTAAATTATATAAAATGATATGTCTTATGTGGATTTAAGAGCACCTCCTATCCTCCCTCAATTGCGTGCCCTAATTCCGTCACCACTATTCCAGGAAAGACACACCATCGACGATTATACGACACGTGTTTCGCCTCTACACGAGGCATCCTCAGGAGCTGTAGACTCTACGGCGCGGTGGCTGACCGCTAAGTGAGCGGCGAGCCAAAACAGCTGCTATTTATACACGCCGACACAACCGCTACCCACCAAAGTAGCAAGCGACCGCGTCGTGCGATAATAAACCTGCGACTAATTATCAATATTTTTATTAATTTTTTAATATTATTATAATTGTTTTTTTGTTATTATTATAGTTATCCACTATTATTAATTTTTAAAAATGATTATTAGAGATTAGCCTTAAAGATATTTAACAAAGGCGAATTAGAAACATTTGTTTGTTCATTCAGTAGTGCATTGTTATCATTACTATTTTTTAAAATCTCCAACTGTTACAGCAGACACAGTCGCAGCCCCTTATTACAAGTATAAAAAACTTTAAAGGAATGGTCGTTGGCTAGGTTGTATCCAGTGTCCAAGAGATGTTTAGCAAAATGGGATTTATCAGGATTGCAATTTCTGTACGCTCTGTAAATGCTCTTTATAACGCGTCCTGAAATTGTGACCAGTCTGATCCACGTAAATGGCGTGACATTCGTCACAAACAAGTTTATAAATACCCGATTCCTTTTTTTTTTTGCGGATGGAAAATCATCTAATGACCCCTTTCGCTCTGGGTGGAGCGTAAGGGAGTGTCAGACTTTTACTGACTAAAAACCATCCGTGTTCCTTCAGTGCCCTTACGTTCCGGAGCCGCGGTATCTCTTTCGAACAGCCCGCAGCCCCGGAAATACCCGATTCCTAAGAGAATTGTTTGTTTTGAATGCCACGTTAACGCCGTTTTTTCTAAGAGTATTAGCTATTTTTTCTGATACGGAGCCTAAGTAGGTCAAACTGCCCACATATTGCCGGACACTTTGAGATTGAACCGCGTACAGAGAATTGCGAACAACATGCTTTTGTTTCTTTTTAATAAGATTATTAATGAGATTTTTTTAATAACCGTTGGAGACTGCAATTTGGTAAATTTAATGGAACAGTGAACAGACGTTTAATATAACAATAAAAAGCGGCTAATTTATGTTGCCATGGATGACACGATGACGCTTGAATGACTATGACGTGAATGGGAATGTATAAATAGCAGCTGTTTTGGCTCCCCGCTCACCACGCCGTAGAGTCTACATCTCCTGAGGATGCCTCGTGTAGAGGCGAAACACGTGTCGTATTATCGTCGATGGTATGTCTTTCCTGGAATAGTGGTGTTGGAAGTAGTGGTGCCGGGAATAGTGGTGTTGGGACTAGTGGTGCCGGAATTAGTGCACGCAATTGTGCTCTTCTGCTCTTCAATCCAGGTAAGACACTGATTTTATATAATTTAGTGGAGGGTTGCGAACTAAATTTTAATATATTTATTATAATAAATTTCCGCAAAGTAACTATTAATTATCTTAAAATCTGTTGATTTATCTCTCGACGTACTTGGTTGTAGCTCCATCATTAACCAATTTTAATAAAAAACAATTATTATCAACAAAACAAAATGACAATAATTAAATAAACAACAAATACTAAAATGGCCTCCTGAATGTTGGCGAACCCGTCTTGACCCTGACATTTTGGCGGGGAAACGAGACATTACGACAAATACACAAGATAGAAAGATATAGATAATAGTTTGTCAACTTCACAGTCGTTTTTAAGGTAAATGACCGCTCGTATCGATGCTAGTTGGCCGTACTACAGACGTTTTAATTGCGAATTCTTGTTTATTTCGGATGTTCTTTTTATTGAGTTGAACCTTGCCCCAGCTGTGTGCTCCTTCACTATTCTCCAACTATCTGTATGATCAATCAACTATGGCTGTTTTTATTAATGAAGAATATGCTGACATCGTCTTCATTTATGGCAGAGCTGACAGTAATGGATCTTTGGCACGGCGGTTGTCCCAAGAGCGATATCTGAATCGAACATTACTAAATGTTAGAATGTCTTACAGCACATTTCGTTAGCTTTCTGAAGTTGGAATCCATCACGCGAAACCTGGTTTTAATCGGGGAAGACATGGCCCAATTGTCGAGGAATAAATTATTGCAGCTTTCGATGCAGATCCTACTACGAGCGTCGGAGCAGTTGCTCGAAACCTCAACATTTTGGTACGGAAGGTGTGGAATACGATGCAAAGAGAAAAAAAGGTTTGGAAAATGAAGATTCTACACGAAGGATTTTATCACTTTTTGCTAAGTAGTGAGGTTGAAGATAAATAGTTTTTAAAATCTAACTTATGGAGTCTATCTTAAGCAAGTGTCGTTTTAAGGGAAATTTTCAGTAAACGTATAGGCAGTAATCGGCCGAACGTTGATTTGTCCCCACTTTCTACCAGATATCTCATAATTAGTAATTTAACAGTGGTAGAGCCATGCGGCAACTTTGCTGTTGCACGTATGGGCCGGCTCAAACCGGGGTGGTACCACGACCTCACGGAATACCGTCGTGAAGTGGAATCTCAGCTTCCACGTTTCGTCTGATGAGTGTAGGTGGCCGGAGGCCAAATTCTCCACCCTCCCTACCTAACATGGTAGAGGAATCAAGCGAAGATCTACCCCAGGAGGGGGCCAGCACCCCTGGAGAATCCCTTGCTGAGCATCCACGACCAATTTACTCCTCTCCTGAGCGTGGGTGCTCAAGCTGGCCCCCGTATTCTGAGGGTTGGGCATATTTCCGCTCAAGTCAACGACTGCTCGGGGCAAGATCAATCAAGAGAAACTATCCGTAAATTTCTGCAATATCAAGGAACTTCATTCTAACCTAAACGCCGTCCACTACCATCTCGAGATACCGAGGCCAGCTTTGCTCTTTGTGACCGAGACGCAGGTGTCCTCTCCGGCTGATCCTTGTATCTCTCTTACCCAGGTTACAAACTGGAACACTCCTTTGTGCCTCGGGCTGGAGTTTGCGTATACGTCAGAGAGGACATCTGTTCTCAACGCTTCGAAAAATGTTGTTTTATTGGTACACCCTAAATCCAAGAGTTAATGAGACATCTGCGTAAATACCTGTATTTATAAAGAAAAACTAATAACTAAGCTTGTTTTTAAAAAGATTTGAACAACACACTATTAAAGGATATATTGCATTCTGATCTTTAATCAAGAACGCATATAGGTATATAGGGCCACAGCGTCATTTTCAGCATCTATTTACCAGCAGGTAGGCTGTGTACTGGTTTCTTACCCTTGATTCCATCAAAACATTATAAATTTGGTAAATATTCTGATCTATTTCTAAAAGATTTAACTGTGACCTCATAATTACTAACTGTTATTTTAACTTGCAATTGTGGTGATTATATTAATTAAAATAATTAACTAGGGAAAGGTCTTTAATTGCAACTACCACACCCGTATTTTTGGCAATCTATTGGGCAGGGTTGTGTTCAACAGTGTACTTGTGGTATAGTAAAAGTAATCGAAATTCAGCTTCGTTGTGTTTAATAAGAGACGATTTATTTATTATATCAAAATTTTAAAAATTTGAGTGTGATAAAGTGTCATGCTAGCATTATACAAGTTGTCTTACCGTCCAATTTTTAAAGTTCGCAGAAACAAACCAAGCTGGATCGAACCTTAAGCCGTGCTTTTTTCATTTGATTGGAGGGTTGTACGATCATGTAGAGTTACAATTATTCTTTATGGGTAGATCTATGTAAGACAGTCATTAATGTGTATTTCTGATAATGTGTAACACGCTGTTTTACATATCATTGAACAAATCTATTTTCCAATATTTACTAGTGGTAATAATTTTATAATTTCTTTAATCGGTTAGACCTTATAATACAGCCCTATGCGATGTAATTATGCAGCAGAAGAGATGACAGTGACACTGACAGCTTACATGTGATTGTAGACGAGACGATGCGTGTTTACATCTCATTCTCATTTCTCAATTCTCAAGTTTTGTAATAGGTTATCTTTGAGTTTTAGTAATGTTAAAATAATCATTAACACTTGCAAGCTTTAACTAAAATGACGAGAAATAAACTATTTGACGAAGATTCTGAGGAAGAAGTTGCCATTAAAACAGAAAATGCGTACGCAAAACAGTATGATGCTTGGCGTGAAAAGGAAGAGAAACATAAATGTAAGATTTAGTATTGTAAAGAATTAGTATATTTTAATAATTTTTTAAAAATTAAACAAATATAAAAAGTTAACAGTGGTAAAAAATATTTTTAACGTTTACAGTAGAACAAAAATATGGAACGAAAGCACTTAACTCTGATGCCTCAGAGTCTTCTGACAGTGAAGACGAAAGTGATGAACCGTTGGAAGTGTCGGAAGAAACAGAGGCTCAATTCCTCAAGACCCTGTCACTATTGAAAACAAAAGACCCTAGAATTTATGACCCCAGCTATAATTTCTTTGATGAGAAAGTGGAAAAAGAAAAAGGTTTGTATTCACAATTACGGGTATAAGAAGATATGTCTTTGTTACCATCTTGGTATATTGCTATAAAGGTTATATATTATGTTAGAAAATTAGGATAGCTAGATTTTATATCAGTTCATTGATGTAGGATTTTATATCCGTTCTGTGATGCATTTTACTCAACTCCACTGACTCAGTAATTCATTCTTGGGTGATGTTATACGCTTTTACAACAAAATCTCAGAAAATATACAAAATTACACAAGGTTCAAAAACTTTATTAAACTAAGTTTGTATAAAAAGGGTTACTAACCCCTTGTGTGGCGACCGGCCAGATTCTGGCCGATGGTTAATTACGTGCGTCTGGCAAGCGACTATTTTATGGCCGATCCGCGCATGGATATTTGGCAGGTAAAATAACCGGCGACAATGATTGCTATCACAATTTTACTTATATAAAATAATACACTAAAGAACGAGGATGCGATACAAAGCTACTAAAGTACTACAATGTTTAGAAATTTCTAATAAACAGCCAGTGTGGCAGTCGTACGTGAATGTCACTTTTATGTGTTCGCCCGTCCCGGTTTTTGTCCTTTTTTTTATTGGTAAATCAAATAAATAGTGAAGTTTGCTGCTATTTTAACATGGAAGGGTTAATAATCAACAGTTTTTAATTCATAATTTAGAGATATGTATCCTTTTTACTAAAAAAAATATTTTTTTCGAACATAAACGGCCGTTATACCTACTTACCTTACATTTATCTCTATTGTTGATTAAAAATACATTACATACTTTTTAGAAATGAAACTTTGTCTAAATTTAGAACTTGAACCATACTTGACGTTAAAATTATGGCACGCCACTTGACTCGCTCCTTCCAAAATAAAAGTAACAATATATGCTATTTTTTGTGCGACGCTTGGGTTGCCGTTCATATGTTAAGACTGTAAAAAACTTTTGGTGTAAAAAATATACAGAAATGTGTGTTTTTTTGCTTTTTTATCATAAATTAGTGTATATTGATGAAAATAAATAACATTTATTTTTTAAATGAATGATTTTTCTGTTTAATTTTCACAAATTATGTACAAAATACTAAAAAAAATTCAGTTTTCTAACTTTGAAATCGGCTTAATAAAATCTATTAGGTTGTATTCAATTAAGATAAGTACAGAATAATAGCAAATAATATAACAATTCAAATGACATAAGTTTTATATATAGCTCCAATACAATATTTTGGAGAAATTACTAATTTAATCGCCACGCGCCGATATCGCGGAAACTATCTGCTAACGCCTTAGCAGATGCGCATTATTTGCAAATGGCCGGCGGGCCGACAAGGGGTTATAATATTAAGAAATTTATGGATGATAATAACCCCTGGGAAGGTTTATTAACATCCATATGCTAACAAGCTATTTCTAATTTGTTTTGTGTTGTTAATTGTAGTTTACATGATTATAAGCTATTGTTTGAAAATGCTGGGTTTCTTGCTGGTTCTTCCCAGGACAGAGGTTTTTTTGCGAACTAGTGGTAAATGAAAAAAGTGACTTTTAATAAGTATTGTTTATAATCTCTGTTGAATAAAAAAGTTTCTGTTTCTGTTTCAGGCACTAATGAATTGTTAATTGCAGTTTTTCCATACTGATTTACGATATTATGATCTGTGCTTAATATAGTAATCCTGTTAGTATACAATAAGTTGAATGCTGTTAGTATGCAAAGTTTAATTTTTAAAAGATGTATTTGTCATTATTACAGCCTTTCACATGTCCACTGCCGAACATAGGCACCAAAGAAATTACTTACTTACTTACTTATCTTCACGCACAATCCCTAACGGGGTAGCCGGAGAGAAAACAGATCGCCAAGTGTCACGATCCTTACATACCTCTTTCACTTCTTTCAGGTTCATTATCTTCTTCATACATGCATGTCTAGGTATCCGAGTACTCTTGACCTTCCCCTCTTCGAGTAATTTGCTCACATGGTCTTCGAAAGTTGTATCGACCTTTTAATATTTACCTTCGCGCTATATATTTTCTTCACCATTCGGTCTTCACTCATTCGCTCAACGTGCCCAAACCATCGGGGTACGCTATCAATTTGTGATAAGGTCATCTTTCAATCCTGCCATATTGCGAATCTCTTTGTTTCGCTTTCGGTCGGCTATGGTAACGCCGCACATTTTACGAAGAGATCGCATCTCCACTGCATTCAACTTGCTTTTATGCTTCTTATGGCATACCCAGGTTTCGCTGCCATATAACAAAGTCGGTACCAACACTGCGTTATGTATTGCAAGGCGTGCACTCTTCACTACGCCTTGCCTTTTGACTAACGCATTCAGGGCACCATTGACTTTGTTCCCGGCAGCGACACGCCTGTCCACATCTAAATCACATCTTCCATTCCGGTTGAAAGCACTCACCAAGTATACAATTTTATTTACCTGTTCTAGACATTCCTGATTTACCCATATTTCACATTTCGTTCTCTCTTCGTCCTTTTCAAATACCAGAACCTTAGTTTTATTAGCATTCAAACGGAGACGTTTAATTTCACATTCCTCTTTCATACACGTGACTAATGCCTGCAGTTCTGCTTCTGATGGTGCAATAAGCACTGCATCATCAGCATACAGCAGACAATTTACTTTAATGTCACCCAATTTCACACCCAAACAGCTATTTTTCAGCTTCTGTAAACAGCTGTCAAGATACAGTATGAATAGCCAGGCAGACATGACACAACCATGTTTTACGCCCGCTTGGACGCTAAACATGGGTGACAGGTCATGCCCTATCCGCACACAGGCTCTACAGTCATAGTAAAGTGACTGCACAGCCCTTAACAATCGACCATCCACACCATATTTCGGCAACAGTTCCCACATTTTCTTCCTTATAACCTTATCAAATGCTTTCTCCAGATCCACAAAAGCACAGAAAATCCTCTGGTTAACAAACTGGTAACTGGTAACCAAAGGAATGACACAAAACACAATTCTGAGTTACCTGCATGTCATCCCATTAAGTTTTAAAAGTTTCATAGCTTTATAAATTACATAGGGTTGTATTTAGAATCGTTTGGCAGGAATTTGTGGGAGTAAGGTGTTTTGTTTGGTAGAGGTTTGGTCCCCGATTGTAATAATTCCATTCACATTAAAAGGTAATGCACAGTTATCAAAAATTATAATTTTTTTATTATTAACAGACTTTACGGCTCTGGATTTAAGCCCTTCTGAGAAAAAATTATCGTATAATTTTTTCTGTTTATTTTTTTATTACTGTGAAAGCTGGAGAAAAGGCTGTATAAGAATTTTGTGGCTGTGGCGGGAGCAAAGGCAACCTGACTTTATAGATATCTGATCTGGTTGAATCTGTACTAAATTAAAACAGCATGCCCCGAATCCACGTAGTCTTGTCTGCCCTACTCCTAAAGTATTTTTATAAAGCCATAGGCGCGGAGGGAGGGCAGCCTGCTTATTATTGTATTATATATTATGTTTATAATTTAAAGTAATTATAAAAGCTAATATATTGGTGTTTTGTTGAGTGCAAGAGCTCGGGACTTAGGGCACCCTGACTCGGACAGGTTAGGTTAGAAGGGGATGGCGGGGTGGAGTGAGCGAGTTAAGCGAGCAAATAGACCCCGCCATTCCCTTCGTGATTATTTGTAGACCACTCAGAAGTAGGAGCCCCACTTCGCAGGGCTCCGTCGACCGGGTTTCCCTTGGCTGCGCTACATGATGCTTTCCTCCCCTAACTCTCTCCACCCATAAATCAGGTTTATAGTCAAAAACATAACCTCCAAATTAGATTTTTAAAAATTTATAAAAAAAAACTAAGCCTGTCCGCCAAGATGTGGAAGTGGGGTGCGACTCTACAACTCTCCCGCCTCCCTCTCCACCACCACCACCCCCCACCCCCTTAATTCATTTTGAGTTATCGTTTTGAGGTTAGTTCTATGGGTTATTTTTTATTTTTCTCAAGAATGGTGCATTACTTTTAATTTGAGTGGTATTATCATAATCAGTGACCTAACTTCTACCAAATAAAACGCATTACTCCCCCAAATTCCAGCCAAACGGTTCTAAATTTAACCACGGCTAATAAATTTCGAGTAAGCCCGCCAACATCAGCGTTCCAAGCCATTCATCATAGTAAGCTTATGAGCTGTCAACATTATCTTATTCACATAGTCATGTGCATTTCGAGAACTGTCCAATGTAGTTGTGATGAGGTCTCTCAATAAGGCAATTTTAAGTTGAAAGCTTTAGCTAAATTTAGTAAATACAGTTTTCTAAGTATAATAAATGAGGAGTCTTGAATGGCTAAAATTTTCTGCATACAGTCAAAATATGTGCTAAGGATGTAAAGTTATCACATGACAGATAGCCTGCTACTTGATGAATCTAAGCATAAAGACAGTCTATCTATTTAAATTCATCCAAAACTAACTAGTGACTTTGTGACATAGAGTAAAGTAAACCCCTCTACGAAAACTTCGTAATCTAATACACTGTGTGAATTTCATGAAATACTTGACACTGGTAGAATTCATTGTTAATTGTCAAAATAGGAAAAAATCTACATCAAAGGGTTTAGATTTTATTAGCGTATGACTCTTTGATTGTAAGTGCCTATCAGTTTGTGTAAACTTGTGTTATATTTTAATATTATATCGTATTCCAGAGAAGGAAAGCAACACCAATAAGGTAGTCTTTGCAGACAGTGACTCGGATGATGATGATGATGATGGTAATATATTTAGCATAGAAAAGAAGGCTGAGATAGATGAAGAAAAACAAGAACATCACAACTTGAACAAAGTAAGGATTTAGTATTAAATATTGTATAGTGAAATTGAATTTTATCACTAGCAACCCGCCTGTTCTGGCTTTGCCAGTTTAGAATCTTTTTTTATATGATATATATTCTAGATCTGACATTGCTCTCTTATCTATTTGTGAAGTTTCATCACAATGAATTAAGCCATTTTGAAGATTAATTTGGATGTCGTCGTGATCCAGAAATCACCCATCCAAAGCATAGTTATATTATTTCATTGAATGTTATATATACTTGAAATAAATCAATAACTTGCTGGATTACAGGATGGCAAATTGAAGGACTATCTGATAGGGAAAGTAGAGCATGTAGATGAGGATGTGGAAAAGGACCTTGCTCCATTAAAAGCTCTTTGGTCTGATCCCCAGCTTAATGAGGGAGAAGCTTTTCTCAGGGATTACATATTAAACAAAAGGTATGGTAGACTCAATATTTCCAACTTTAAAACATTTTTATTTGTTGTAGACCCATGCTGCAGCTATATTAAAGTTGAGGCACGAATGGTTTGACTCGACAAGGGAAGGGCCATAATTGACAGAATATCAGTTTAAAATTGCAGCTTAATGTTGCTGTGTTTCATATGGTGAAATTAAAAAACCGGAAACCCTTTTTAATGGAAAAGAGGCATTCTATGTTAGTCATCAAGGGTGACAACGCATTTTGATCCTAAGCGAGGATAGATGGTGTCTAAGAGCCACAGCATCCTCTTACATCAACCGAACTATTTGCTCGATTATCACCCTTATTCTATAAAAATTCGATGTGAGCAATTCCTACCCCAGATTCGCTTCAGGTTCGTAACAGTCCTTCGTGATGAACTGTTATGGCCGGTGGTAGACACTTAGCAATAGGTGAGCCGCATGCTCGTTTATAAAAAAAAACCGGTCTTTAAATATTATTCATTTTCAAGGCCAAAAGGAATAGTTATGTTACTTGTAGGTACTTAGACGAAGGCGACGCTGGGGAAGCGGAGGACAGAATACGGGACGATGCGGACTTGGAGGCCGACGAGGAGATTGTGGAAGAGCAGGGCAAGTTTGAACGCGCCTATAACTTCCGCTTCGAGGAGCCAGACGATGAATATGTAAGTCTAATCTTCTTGCTTAGATGAAAACAGTTTCTAAGAAACACGAAATATTTAAATGTAATTAACTTTTAGCCTTAAGTCGCAGCCTACTTCAAACATTTTGAAAGAATATCCCATTCTGAAGTTGCTTTCAAACAAAGTGTAAAAAAAGGTAATTTTTTAATCTTTTGAGTGGATTAAGTAATATTACAATCTTAATATTGTCTAAATAGTTACCTTTACTTCTTCCTTCATCCTCTAGTTTACCACTCGAATTTTTTGTCCAAATTTATATTTTTTTTAAATTGGTCATACCTCTAAAGTATGACCTAAATAAAAAAAAGTTGTCAAAATCGGTTTACTATTGGCAAGGATATTGCGTAATATACGTACAAAATAAAAACACAGTTGAATTGTAAATTGTAAGCCTCTTCTTTTTTTTTTTTTTTTAGTTGGCTAAAATATGTTATGTTAAGGCTTTTAAAACAGCTCATAGTCAAGTCAAGAAAGTGGAGAAGCTATAATGAAAACTAATTTTTTCTGGCTGTGACTGTGGTTTAATCTGACGTCATTAATTAAATTATGCTTATATTGTAGCCATAAAATATATGAATTCCTGCAAAAATATTTGCTATTTTTGGTAAATATTTATTTGTCGAGGATTTTAATTCTTTAGGTTTCTTGTAGAATAAGGGTGACAAATGAGCATCCAGTCCACCTGATGGTAAGTGGATGACATAGGCGTCTACATTTATTTTCCATTACGAATCAAAATGTAGATGCGTTGTCACTCGTGAGGAGTAATATGGAATACCTCGTTTCCAGTAAAAAGACGTTCTCTACATGAAACAGCAGCATTAATCTGATATTTTACACTGCTATTCTGATTTTTTAAGCATTAAGATATTATTTTACATCGGTATTCTATGCGGCCTATAAAAATACACAAAAATGTCTTCTGCAGTTAAAGCGCTTCCCGAGAACGATGAACTACATCCGTCCGAAGGACGATCGTCGGTCGAGAAAGCGTGCAGAAGTTCGCGCTCGGAAAGAAGAGGAAAAGAAAAAGAAGATGGAGGAGATTGCGCGGCTCAAAGCATTCAAGCTTAAGGAGATACAAGAAAAAATCGCCAAGCTGAAGGAAGTCACTGGCAATCAGGATCTGGCTTTTAAGGTGTTTGCATTCACATTACAATTTCCGTTAAACTAGCTGACCTTTCTCACCAAGTTTTTAGTAATTGATTTGAAACTAACTTCCTGATTGCTAGACAAGAAATGAAAAATGCTAGACTTGAAAATTTGAACATTTTGAATTTCTTATAGTTATAGAAGAGTAACTTTACGACTTTTACCACGTTTAATTTAACATTTTTAATTGCTTACGTTTCAGGCACTTTACATCCATGGTCCCCCCCGTGACCAGGGGCGTTAATGAAATACATACATATATATAAAGTTTGATAGCCTATATTTTTTATAGCATTGGGTGACAAACGAGCACAGTCTACCTGATGGTAAGTGGATGCTGTGTCCCATAAACATCCACATTTATCCTCAATTAAGATTTAAAATGCAAATGCGTTGTCTGACGATAGATGAATGTTGTCTCGATTCTAGTAAAATAGGTCTCCGGTTCCACGCTGCTATTTACGTTGGTATTCTGTGAGAGCTTGGTCCTTCCCCGATCGAGCCGACCCATTCGTGCTACAACTGTAATATAGCTGCAGCGTGGCTCTACCACGTAAAATAAGATCAAGTTTAAGTTCACTGCTGAACATTGGCCTCCCCATAGGTTGCCTCATGGGGGATATTTGCCACAGTTGTCACGTTTGGCAGGTAGGCTGCCAACTACCTTTTTATTATTTTGTGTTGTTATCAGGAAGGTGCTGGCGCCGATCTCTTATTTCATTTCCCTTTGGCGCCTCTTACTACACCCACGGGATGTTTTGGGTTAAAAATTCTCCTACGCTGCCACCTTTAGAAACCACGGCTTTTGAAATAGATTGCCTCTTTGGTCTAGTAGTCGTAGAAAACACTAGACCAACGTATTAAAAAGCCTTTTACGTGATTAAAAGGCCCTTTTGAGGCCACAAATACGATCGATAACTTATAAATTCAACGTCTTAGAATATGAACGTCCGTCCCACTCTCTCCCCTCCCCTCATTTTCTCCTATAACTTTTTTTGTATTGGCCTCCCTCAGTTCCTCCTATACCTTTTTCCTTTTTGTATGCTCTTATTGTTTTCTTTTTCTGTTCGTAACTATGTTACGAGAGCTTGCAGCCTTGTTAAATACAGCTCAAATATTAATTCCTAAAATATTAACGGTTCCTAACTTTGGATGGCTAACTTTAACGGTTATAAATAAGGTTCGGTTGTTAAATGGTTACTGATCATGAGGTCCCAGGTTCCTGCCTCGGAAGGCACGTAAAGCCGTTGGTCCTGCGCCTGATAACTCTCCGGTCATGTTGGATTACTGTTCCATCGGACTATTAGAGTAAGGGAATCGAATTGATAGTGCACCTGTACTTGCGCATACTGTCAGGCACTTTAATCCTGTCCTGCACAGATGACCGGTCTACCTTGACAGGTCTGGAGACATTATAATAGTCGGAGTTTAGTCACACTGCTGTTTCTTTTGAACTAGACTGTAGTTTTCAAAAGCAACTTCATTATCAGGATGAAGATATCGAAGGTGACTTCGATCCTGAGGAACACGACAAGAGAATGAAGGCGATATTCGACGAACAGTACTATGGGGACGCGGACGATGAGAAGCCCGTGTTCCCTGATCTTGACGAGGAGTTGGAGATAGGTGAGTGATATTAGATTGTGATCTGCTTATTGTCCACAGTTTAACATAGGTTTCTCATTTTTTTGAGGGTGATTATGCCGTAGTAAGTCAAGCTTTATTTGAGCCGTGGTAGCACAGATTGTTAACGCTCGCTCTAAATTTCACAATACGCTAGCAAACCGGGTTCGATCCCCTAGGTGGTTATTAAGGAAAACATCTTGAAGAAACCTGCATGTCTGAAAAATAAAAAAAATATTTCGAAGACATGTTAAGTTAGATAGGGCAGGGGCGGACACTTCCTTGTAAAACCCTTAGAAATGAGAGGAGGCTCCAGCAGTGGGACGTATATAGACTGTAACTTTACTTTATTTAGTCGCCAACATGCATTGGGGCAGCGCGGCGGACACTTCCTTGCCCTAAAAGCTCTCTCAGAAATGAGAAAGAGACCTGTGCCCAGCAGTGGGACTTATATAGGCTGTAACTTTTTAAGTCAAGCCTGGTGGGTGTATTAGTAATTACACTATAGTCTGTTCACTAAGATAGTGTCGGTACACCCGGAGTCGCACTTATTATTTTGCTTTTATTTTATTTTTTATTGTGTTTTTTAAATGAATGTTTGTCTATTCTAAGAATAAAATATAATATTATTTATTTATTTATTATTCTTATGGTTATTGTAATAAAATACAAATTTAAATAATAAAATACAAGTTAGGTAGCAAAAAACCTTTCACTACGGCGCTTCGTTTTAAAATGCCAACTTCTCCTGTGGGTGTAGGCCGCACGCGGCGAATAAAATAAATTTGAATTTAATGTAGATTACAAGAATATATCCGTAACTGCACAGTTCATCAAAAGTTCGCTGCTGAACATAGGCCTTCCCAAAGATTGCCTCATTGGGATACATTTGCCTTAGTTGCCATCATGAAGGTTAGAGAACAGGAGAACGATCACTACGTACTAAAGCATAGCCCGCCTGTCCTTGAAAATTGTAGAATACATAGCGGCGCTGACGTCGGTGAGTAGTGACTGCGAAGTTAGCTGTTTATGAGTACATGTAGATGAAGTTAGTTGAATTAATGTACAAATTTTCTCCGCGGCATTGGTGAGAAAATTTTCATGCTCCGTAATTTTGTAATTTTTGATAAAAAAAAACATTAAAAAATGGAGAAACATTTTATTGTGCGTGGATGTGCAAGTGGTTTAACATCTGATCGGAAAAATAGACTGAAAATGACTTTTATTGACCGAACTTAGCGATCGCAGCGCCTCACTTATGGTGTCCATATTTCTGGGACTCTGTTTTGTACGGTGATCGTTCTCCTGTTCTCTAACCTTCATGGTTGCCATGCTGGCAGGCGGATAGGTAACGGCAGTTTTTTTATTATTTTGATTCGCTATCAAGAGATGCTGCTGCTCATCTCCTGTATCAGTTTTCCTCTGTCGCCTCTTACGACACCCACGGGGCAATTTGGGGTAATAGATATCCTTACACCGCAACTACACGGTTATTAGTTACGTTACAGGACAATATATGTTACTATTAAATGCGATAACAATTAGTAATAATATGGTAGGGATCACCTCATTCCCAGAGGTTGTTATTAATTATGTATTATTTAATAGTAGTAGCCGTTTTGAAAGAATTTTCGCTTTTTAAAAATTTTAAGGTTTTTGATACTTTTTGTTTGACTGCGGTTCACTAGGTCGTGAGTTCGATTCACACGAAATAGGTGTTTGTGCTTACAAAATAATAATTAGTTACAAAGCTAATTGAGTCTAAAGATGGTATAACACCACTTTTTAGAAAATTTTCTCCTTAGACAATATTCACTAGAAGAGATGCTACAATAATACTTATTATAGTCAACCAAATCTAAGAAATACCTTTTGACGTTTCACATTAATCATTCAGCAATAACTTTGCACAAGCGTACTCACACGATTTAAAATAACCTTTTACGTAAATCCAAAGAATTATAAAGTTTTCAATATTTCATTACAACGTGTATAGTTTTTTATCACTAATTTAACTTTGAATCTTTCAAACAAAGCAAAATATTAAAAAATAACCAGTATCAACTTTTTGTACTTCACGTCATTTCAATGATATGTCGCTATGTACATTACCGTAGTGTTTGGATGATTAAAATTAATTGTTATGCGAATAATCGGCAAAATATTCCAATAATCAATAAAAATATTAAAATAATCGAATTATTAATTTTTTTAATGAATTATTTATTTAATTTAGTTTTTATTTTTAAAATTCTTTAAATTACATGAATCATGAATAAAACTAGTTTTTTTTATTTGTCAACGTAAATTTGTGTAGACAAAAAAAACTCATATACAAGGCCGCGATATAAAAACCAATACGTAATATCGGGCCGTTTCGGGCGCTTACTGTGCGTAATTTTTTGATTTTGTCTTTGTCTTCTTATTTTGTGACTCGGTTTTAACTTTTTGATCTGTTTCTTTAATATTCGTTGAAGCATGTGCCCATTTCACAAAGGATAATTGTGCGAAAGTGGTAGAAAAAACAAAAAAATTATTATGGATGACTTTGAAAGAGACATTAATTTTGACTGCATTATTGAAAATCAAACAACGATAGCTCAACTAGTTGTACTGAAAGTGATTGAATGAATTTATTTTTAATTTAGTTATAATCTTAAAATTTTATGACTGCCTCTAGAAATAAGCAGTATCTAACAACAAATACGTAGAAACTGATAAATCTTGTGTTTGAAATTATCCGTTTTTAATTTATTGTGATATTATTCAAACCAAACTGTAAATGATTACCAACTCTAAATAATCGATATCGATTTTTTTGAGAATCGAATATTGTATGTTCTCAAGTTTTGGTTGGCATGCCTGGTGCAATAATTATGACAGCTGTCAAAATGTATTTCTTACATTTGGTTGACTACAATACACTGTGTTTTTCAGAAAATTGGGAAAATTATGAGGACGAGTACAACGAAGCACAGCAGGGTGATGATGAGGGGCCGCACTGCGAGGATGATGATTTTAATGTAAGTAAAAATATTGACCGTGTAGTGCCAGAGTAAGAATTATTATATAAAAGAGTTATTCCAAAAAGTGGATTGCAGAGGCCCGTCTGGCTACGTTGAATGTATGTGGAGCAATGAATGATAAAATGGATGAAGTATGCAATATGATGTATGATAGAGGAATAGATGTGTTATGTGTAAATGAGACGAAACGGAAGAGGAAGGATATCACTACACATGGCATGTATACTGCAAACCGGTCTGGTGTAGACGAGATTGAGCGGGCATTCCAGGGAGTAGGTATCATCCTTTCAGAAAGAATGGGCCAATGTGTGAAAGAGTATGAATATGTAACCCAAGACTGTTATGGATACGAATGAAAGTGGGTTTAAAGAAGTTGTTTGTGCTAGGGGTCTACGCCCCAGACATGTCTATGCCCACTTATATCCGAGAGCAGTTTTGGGAAATGGTAAGGATGGTGTTAATGAAATGTAAGGGAAATGAAAATATTATATGCTTGGAGATTTTAATGGAAGGGTTGGGGTGAGGAGGCTTGGTTATGAAAGGATATTGGGAACGTTTGGTGATGAAAGTATAAATGAGAATGATGAAAGCCTCCTCACCGTATGTATGGAAAAGAATCTTTTTGTGACGAACACTTGCTTTCGCCACAAGAGGATTCACACGTATACTTGGGAAAGAGGTGACGATAGAAGCATGATAGATTTCGTAATTGTGGATGAAAGAATGAGGGGCGCAGTGGTGGATACAAGGGTTTACCGGTGGTCTAACGTAGGAACGGATCATTATTTGGTTTTATGCTGAATTAATGGTCTATTCAGGCGTTGGCGCCATCGGTCATCTGTGTCTACTACTACGTTACAGCGTATTAGAACTGAAAGGTTACAAGAGGAAGGTGAGAAAAACAAGTTCAAATGTAGACTGAAAAAAAAATATAAGTGGTTTGGATGAATTATGTATGAATGAGTTAGACTTGGAGAATGTATTTCAAAATGTTAAGAAAGGTTTAGTGGATGCAGCTACCGAAGTATGTGGTGTTAGTAAGAGAAAGAATGAAAGGAAAAATAATACATTATGGTGGGACAATGAGATACGTGTGGAAGTTGGAGCAATGAAAAGAGCATGGCTAGATTTACTAGCAATAAAGGCTGGTAATTCTAGCGGTACGAATGATGATATTGAAAGAAAAAAGGCAGTCTTATGACATCTAAATAAGAGAGTAAAAGAAGTAGTTGAAAGAAAAAAGCAAGAAAGAACGGATAAGAATGATAGAAGAATATCGGATCACTTCCAGGCAAATATTAAAATGTAGAAGAAACTCGTAAGAACTGCCAGGGGACATTCAAAACAGCCTATAATGAATGCTATAAGAGATGAGAATGGCTATATTCTGAATGATGAAGTTTTGAGTTTAAAGAGATGGAAGGAATATTTTGAAAGCGTGTTTATGAGTGAGGAGACAACGAGTGTACTAAGTGAAGTAGAAACTCCGAAAGAAGAGGAAAGAGGTAGCGAGATAAGTATGGATGAAATAATGAAAGCAATGAAAAGCATGAAAGCAGGTAAGGCTGCCGGATATGATAGAGTTTCACTCGAAATGCTAAGGGCTGGAGAGGAAGTGGTGGCAGGCCTGCTGCACACCTTGTTTAATTTATGATGGGAACTGAAGCGGGTACCGGTAGAATGGTGCAAAGCCGTGATAGTCCCAGTATATAAGGGAAAAGGGTCGCAGCAGGACTGTAAAAACTAGCGTGGCATCAGCCTTCTTAGCATTGTGGGAAAACTGTATGCTAAGGTACTGATTGAAAGGGTCATGAAAGAAACTGATGAAAAAATTTGGGATGTGCAAGCGGGATTTAGAAAGGGAATGAGATGTACAGATCAAGTCTTTTCCATGCGCATGATCGCGGAAAAGTTTTTGGCCAAAAACCGAAAGGATTTTTGTGCGTTCATGGACTTGGAAAAGGCCTATGACAGAGTGGATAGAGATGAGCTATAGTAAACACTGAATTCATTTGGGTTGAACGCTTGAAGTGCTTGTTTTAGTATCAACGGGGTCTACACGGACTGGTTTGACATCCATAAAGGTGTCAGACAGGGCTGTGTGGCTTCCCCGTGGCTGTTCAACCTATTTATGGACAGTTGTTTGCAAAATTTGAAAGTTGAAGAATGCGGATTAAGAATGGGTGAGTTAACCGTCAAATGCCTTTTGTACGCCGATGATCAAGTTATTCTTGCGTCGTCGGCGGCCGAGCTGCAAATGATGGTTACATTAATGAACAGATCATTAAAAGAAAGGGGTATGAAAGTGAACGCAAGTAAGACGAAAGTTATGGTTTTTGAAAGAGAAGAAAGTAAGACGAAATGTGAAATAAGAATAGAAGGGGAGCTGATCGAGCAAGTAGATGAGTTTGTATATCTGGGTTGCGTATTTAGCAGGGATGGGAGATGTGATAAGGATATAGAACGACGAGTGAATGCGGGAAATAGAGTAAATGGGACCCTGCACTCTATTGTGAAGAGTCAAAATGTGTCAAAAAGGGCACGTAAGGAGATTCACAAAGCTGTATTGGTCCCTACTTTAACGTATGGTAGTGAAAGTTGGGTGTGGCAGAAGAAGCACGAGAGTAGAATGAACGCAGTAGAAATGCGGTCGTTAAGGAGTATATTAGGGCCGAATCTGAATGACAGAGTAAGAAATTGTGTAATAAGAGAAGAGTGTGGTTTGCAAGATGATGTTGTGACCAGGATTGAGAAAGGAATGCTTCGGTGATTTGGTCATGTGGAAAGAATGAATGAGGAAATGAATGAATGAAGGAAGAAAATTTTAGTTGCAGAAGTGAATGGCAGAGTTGGAAAGGGACGTCCTAGGTGAAAATTTATCGACCAAATTGGCGATTTATTGAAAACGGGACAACAAAAACAACACACACAAACACATACAAATTAGGAGTACCCTTAACCGACGAGCATGTATGCGTAGGTGTATGGATGTGAAGGAGTCGAGAGAGGTGTGTCAGGATCGTGCTAAATGGAAGTCTGTAATCTCTGCCTACCCCTCTGGGTGACAGGCGTGAGTGTTTATGTTATGCATTATTCCATATCATCTCATAGGTTTCATACGAGCTGACTGAAGGAAACTGAAATAACAGATGCACATATCTTCCTGATAAAAGCTCAAAATAATAAAAAATACTCCAGTTGCCAAGTGGGCACATCTTTTCTTTTTATATGATAGGGTGACGAACGAGCACACAGTCCACCTGATGGTAAGTGTTTGCTGTGGCCCATAGACATCTACATCTATCCTCGATTAACAATCAAAACGCAGATGCGTCGTCACCCGTGAGGACTAAGTTGGAATGTCTCGTTTCCAGTAAAAAAGGGTCCCCGGATTTCTACACTCAACATATTAAACACAGCAGTATTAAGCTGCTATTTTACGCTGGTATTCTCTGATTTCTTCTATGAGGCAATCTATGTTCACTAGTGGACTTTTGACGGGCTGTGATGATGAGGATGATGATAATGAACTAAAAACTACTTGAATGCAAGCAATAAAAATGAGTGTTAAATTAACATTTTGTTTAAAAAAATTTGTTACCCCGACACTAGAATTTTCCCCTGTATCGTGGAGCCAGTTAACAAACATAAATAGCACAAGGACAAACATCACTAAAAAATCGGCCAAGTGCGAGTCGGACTCACGCAGGAAGGGTTCAGTACCATCATAAAACACGTTTGTAGTTGGAGAACAGCCTTTAATTTTTAATTTATTTTTTTTATTTGTTGATATAGCGGCAACAGAAATACACATTCTGTGAAAATTTCAATTGTCTACTTATAACGGATCATGAGGTACGGCCCGTTGGCAGACTAACAGACAAACAGTGGTGGCTTAGTAATGGGGTCTTGTGTGGTTACCCTTTGGATACGGAACCCTAAAAATTTGTTCATAATGCAATAACGAATATATTTTTACTAGGTGTATTTTTTATTAATAAATAATTAAAAATTAAAAAAAGAATGCAATATTTAACATTCGTAAGATTTTTGATCTTACATTATGTTTAATATTGCTGCCTTTTGTGCGTTTGTGCCCCATCTTAAATTTCCTGTCTACTAGCGATCCGCCCCGGTTTCGCACGAATGATTTCTGGATCTCAACAACAGCGCCACCTACCGACTCCAAATTGTGAATGTAAACCATTGTGAACCCAACTCATTATCATCATCATCATCATCATCATCATCATTACAGCCATTCACAAGTCCACTGCTGGACATAGGCCTCCCCCAAGATATGCCACAAAGCACGGTCCTGAGCCACCTGTATCCATCGACTTCCTGCATGTCTTACCAGGTCGTCACTCCATCTAGTGGGGGGTCGCCCTACACTACGCCTATCGGTACGAGGCTGCAACTCGAGAACCTTTTTTCCTCAACGGTTGTCGGTTCTTCGAGCTATATGGCCGGCCCACTGCCACTTCAGCTTACTAATACGTTGGGCTATGTCGGTCACTGTGGTTCTGCTGCGGATATCCTCATTTCTAAGTTTATCACGCATAGAAACTCCGAGCATAGCCCTCACCATAGCTCGCTGAGTGACTTTGAGCGTCCTCATACGGCCAGCAGTGAAGGACCACATCTCGGTTCCGTAGGTCATCACTGGCAACACGCACTGGTTTCAGGTTTTGAGGTATACCTGACGAGAAGATGTGTCGTAATTTCCCGAACGCTGCCCAGCCGAGTTGAATCCGTCGATTGACCTCTCGGTCGAAGTTGGACTTAACTAGTCGGACTATTTGTCCCAGGTAAACCTACTCGTCAACAACTTCGAGCATAGTGCTCCCAACAACTACCAGCATAGGTGTGACATGGACATTAAACATGATCTTTGTTTTGTCCATGTTCATCTAAGACCTATCCGTTGGGAGGCACTATTGAGGTCATTGAGCATAGTGCTTAGGTCCTCCAGCGATTCTGCCTTATGGACTATATCGTCGGCAAATCGAAAGGTGAGTGATGTACTCGATTGATTCTTTAATACCGTATCCTTTCCAGTCCAGTAGCTTGAAAACGTTTTCCAATGCAGCGGTGAAGATTTTCGGGGAAATAACGTCACCCTGTCTTACACCACTCTGCAGTTGGATAGGTTTCGTACTCTGGTTCTGTACTCGGATAGCCATCGTAGCCCTACTGTACAAACACTTCAGCACTTCGATATACCGACAATCAACTTGACACCGCTGAAGAGACTGTAGCACCGCCCAAATTTCGACGGAATCAAAGGCTTTCTCATAGTCCATATACGCCAGGCAAAGTGGCAGATTGCACTCTTCGGACTTCTGTACAATTTGCCGAAGGGTATGTATGTGGTCTATGGTACTAAAGCCTTTTCGGAAACCGGCTTGTTCGGGAGGCTGGAAGTCGTCGAGTCTGCGTGCGAGACGATTCGTGATGACTCTCGAAAACAGCACGTAGACGCGGCTCAGAAGGGATATCGGTCTGTAGTTCTTCAAGAGGGCGTTGTCACCTTTCTTGAAGAACAAAAGCACCGCACTTCTGCTCCACGCCTCCGAAGTAGTGCCACCATGGAGGACGGAATTGAAGAGCTTCTGAAGGACTTCAAGTAACGGTGTTCCACCCGCTTTCAGAAGCTCCGCTGTAATTCCATCCTCGCCCGGGGCCTTGCCGTTTTTAAGGTTTTAAGGTGCTGGAGAGCCATTCTAATCTTGCTTAGACTGACGTCCGGGATATCATCGGAATAGTGTCGGATAAGACTTGCTCTTGGATCGGTACTCACACTTGCGTGTGGCTCCAACGATGATGTGTACAGCTGACCATAGAACCTCTCAATCTCACTCAGAATCTCAGGTGTCCCGGAAACGATGCTGCCACACTCAGTCTTCAGCTGACAGTTGGCTCTTACTGGAAGACAGATCTCTGGCAAAGACTTTGGAGCCCTGGTTCCGCTCGATCGCTTCTTCAATACGAGCAGTATTAAAGTTGCGTAAGTCTCGCCGCATGCATTTGGAGATCTGTCTGTTCAGTTGCCTGTATGCTGTCAAATCTGTTGACGATTGCAGCCTCATCTCCCGTCTAACAGTCATGAGATTAAGAGTGTGATCGGAGAGTTTTTGTGTTCTTCTGCGGCGGGTCTTGCAGAACTTAGCTCCGACCGTATGGACAGTTTCCACGAGCTTGTCATTCATATCGTCCACTGCATTGCAATCTTCTAGGCACTGAAAGCGGTTACGTAACTCGAGTTGAAAGGTTTCGGGATTCTGGATCAGAGCACGAGGGGGACGAAGCGTTGACTTCGTTAGACGAGACCTCTCCGACTTAACGTTTAGGTTCAGTGTGCCTCTAACCATTCGGTGATCGATGCCAGTTTTCACCCCTGCGATCACTGAGACATCACTGAACAGTTGGCGTCTGGTCGTCATAATGAAGTCAATCTCATTTTTTGTCGAACCGTCGGGGCTTGACCAGGTCAACTTCCTGTGGGGCCGCTTCTGGAAGAAAGAGCTCATCATAAAGAGTCCCTCTTTCTCCATAAAGTCGGCCAGCTGCTGGCCCCTACGGTTTCGTTGCCCTACTCCAAATTTCCCTATCTTCAGCTCACCGTTCTTTCTTGTGCCCAGTTTTGCGTTGAAGTCTCCCATTAACACCGTATAGTGAGTTTTGGAAACACTAAAAGCATTTTTATATATTATATTTTTATATGTATGTCATTGAATCTTCTTTCATTAAAATAGACGAGTTTGTTCCATTATATTAAGAAAAAACCACTCTTAAGGGTAAAAAAGAGTAGAGACATTGTTTAATGTAAATTTTAAACGAATTTCTAATTGTTCCTTTAACTTGTGATATAGAATACGAATTCTACGAAAAGGGAAAAATTTATAAAGTAAAAACTACCATCAGAAAAAAGGGATTCTACATTACAGCCTCTGAAGTTGTGGCTTTAATTCTTCTATGCATTATGTGTTAGCACCGACTATCTTTGCGTATATAAATTTTGTCTGTATATGTGTTTGTCACTAAACTTCTCCGAAACAGCTAGGCTGATTTTGATGAAATATTTCGTGTGTTTGGATGGCGTAGATTCAAAAATTGGACCCAGTAGACGGCACTATTGTCGAGATCACTAGTTTTTTAAAACGGTTTTTACTTTTTTAATGTAATTTTTGATTATTTCTAAATAACTGTAAAAGCTAAAGGTACATAAATATATTTATTTTTATACATAATGAATTTGAAGTTTTGTAAACATTTTAGAGAATTGCACAAAACTACTAATATTTTTCATATATTCAGATGGACGCTGACTACGACCCCAAGAAAGCACGCGAGAATCTTCTAGAAGAATTGAAACGCAACATGGGAAAGAAGCGAAGAAACAGAAAACGCAAGTCTAAGCTGGCCGAACTCCTTGCACAGGAGAAACCGAAATTTGTCCCGGAGGAAGAAAAAAGCTACGATCAGTTTATGGAGGAGTACTACAAGATGGACTGCGAGGATATAATAGGTGGAGATCTGCCCACCAGATTCAAATATAGAGAGGTTGTGCCCAATGACTATGGCCTGTCAATAGAGGAGGTAATGACTTTTTAATGAGTAATATTAACTGTGTAATGTAGTTGTTATATATAAAATTTATATTTGGTATAGTCATGCTGCAGCCATGTTATGGTTATGGCACGAATGCGCCGGCTTGACCGAAAGGACCACGCTCACAGGATACCAACGTGAAATAAAACCACAATGCTGCTGTGTTTCGTATAGTGAGTGTAGTATACGTATTTTTACCCTGGTTGAGCCGACCAATTCATGCTACGAACATAATATCTGCAGCGTGGCTTTACCATTCGTAAAATATGTTATTTGTACTAATGAAACAAACGAAAATTAAAAAATGTAATATTCTAGATTCTTCTAGCAGACGATAAAGAGCTGACGCAATGGGTGCCTCTGAAGAAGATCGTGAAGCACCGCCCTCCCACGGTGGAGAAGGGTGAGGTGAAGACCTACGCGATGAAGGCAGCCGACATACAACTCAAGAGAAAAATATTGCCCAGTCTGTTCAAAGAATTGCCGCAGTGAGTGTTCATCATCATCATCATCATCATCATTCCAACTCATCTAAGTGCCCTGCTGCACATATGCCTCATCCTTAGATTGCATCATAAGGGGAATGTTTGCTATATACTTGGGAGGCGTTTCATTTTCTTTTTTGACTAAGAGTCGACACTGATATGGAGATATGGAGTAGTGAGTTTTACATAAATATAACTGTTTTGAAGTATTTGTTGATCTTTTTAATGGAAACAAGGCATTCCATCTTAGTCCTCAGGGTTGACAATGCATCTGCATTTTGATTCTTAATTGAGGACAGATGTAGATGTCTATGTGTCCTAGCATCCATTTACTATCATTTGCACCAGCAATTCCCCTGGCGTTGCAGTTGTTTATGGGCGGCGGTAGTCAAACATCAGGTGAGCCGTATGCCGTTTGCCTCCTTTCCTATAAAAAAAATCATATGTCACATTTATTTTATAATAAACGCATTATAATAAACCCTAGAAATGAGGGGAGGCGAGCCCAGCATGGGACGTATATAGGCTTAACTACTTTCTTGCTAGTAACATCAAAATATACTATTTTCTGTATTTGCCCGTACATTTGCGGCCATATATGTTTCACTCTATATTTGTACTACCATTCCTTCTCCGTTATAGTTACAAGCCTATTATATCCACTGCTGAACATAGGCATCTCTCATAGATTGGGGGAAATATCCCCTCTCATATTTGCCATAAATACCACGCTTGGTAAGCGGGTTTTTATTTTTAGTCGCATTAGTGGCAACCGCAGTTTTTATTTTAGTCGTTAATAGAGAGACGCTGCTTCTGATTTGATTCCCTCTGTCGTCTCTTACGACGCCCGCGGGACGGCATCGGGTAGTGGATATTCTTAAGCCGCTAAACGGTGTATTTATTTATTTTTACTTCTCCACAAATCTATTATTATCCAAATAACTCTGCCTTAAATGGAAAAACCTTGTGCTCAGTAGTGGGACGATGTAGGCCGTCTGTAAATTTAACTTTTTTTTTAAATTCTATATGTATTTTATAATAAAAGCAAAAGACTGATAAGACATTTAATTGTTACAATTATTAAAATAATTACCTGTGGAAAAATATATTTTCATTGCAGGGAACCGGAGCTAGTAGTTCCAGTTGGAGAGATAAGCAAAAAGAAAAAAAAGAAAAAGAAGAAAGCAAAAACAAACAACGACGCAGAAAATAATTCTCATAATGAGGAAGTTCAAGAAAATGGAATTCAAAACGACGACATGGTGGAGAAAAAGGATAAAACAAATCCTGAAGTTAAAAAGAAAAAGAAAAAACCCAAGGAAGCTAATGAAAATGGCGAAAAGTTAAATATCGAACCTGCGGAAGTTCTAGAAAATGAAATTCGAAACGACGACGTGGAGGAGGAGAAGCATAAAATAAATCCAGAAGTTAAAAAGAAAAAGAAAAAATGCAATGAAGCTAATGAAAATTTAAATAACGGGTCTGCGGAAGAAGTGCAATATGAAACTAAAACAATTAAAACAAAAGATAAGAAAAAGAAACGTAAAAATGATTTCATTGTTGAGGATGTATTAACTAATCAAGAACCAAGTATAATTAGTGATGTAACGGGGAAGTTCACGGCACCTAAACCAAACAAAGAAAAAAGGAAATTGGAAAACAATATAGAAAGCGTCAAAGAGCAGAGTGGTACATTAAAAAGAAAATTAGACCTAAATATACAAGATAACCCAGAAATTCCAAGGAAGAAGAAGAAAAAGCATAAACTCAACCCAACGTTCCCTCAAATTCCATCCGATAAAAAGCAAAATATCAAGAATAAAAAGAAAAACAAGTACAAACCTAAACAGGATAATGGAAAGTCAGACAACCCTTTGAACAAATTATCCGATGAGAGACTAAGGGCTTATGGATTAAATCCCAAGAAATACAGGGGTTTCTTGAAATACAAGAATTTTTAATTTATCTAAATAATGTAAATAAAGATTTTATTGTATATTTTGTTTATTTTAACCGACTTCCAAAAAAGGAGGAAGTACTCAATTCGACTGTTTTTTTATATGTCTGTACTGTCTTTTTTATTTAAAAGCTGATACTTCTCATGTAATCCTATATAAATTTGATCAAAATCTGACCGGTAGTTTTTGAGTTATCATTCATAATGCGTATTTAATTGACTTCGAATACATTGACGATGTTCTCATTTTATTCATATTGAATTCGGTTATACAAAACTTTTATTTTTACCATTTGTGTAACTAACAAACGTTTTAACCTTAATCAGCCCTTTTAACAGTGGTAGAGCCACGCAGTAGCCTTTGCTATTGCACGCGGTGACCTCGTGTTTGTTTTTTTTGTGAGTGCAGGTGGCCGGAGGCCCACTCCCCATCAATCGCAATATGTAGCGGAATCATCAATATGGTAGCGGAATTAAATGCAAGACTACCCCAGGAGGGTACCAGCACCCCTGGAGAATCCCTCGCTGAGCATCCACGACCAAGCTACTCCACTCCTGAGCGTGGATGCTCAGGCTGCCCCGCGTATTCTGGGAGGGGGCAAAATTCCGCTCGAGACTAAACCAGCTCGGGGCAAACGGAGCAATAAGTCAAAGGCGCTCCCTGCCACGATATCGGTGAGTTTCTACATCAGGGGACTTCATTCAAACCTAACGCCGTCCACTACCATCTGGAAACGGCGAAGCCGGCCTTGCTCTTTCTAACCGAGACAGGTTTCTCTCCGGCTGATGCTTCGTATCTCTCCTACCCGGGGTACAAATTAGAACACTCTTTGTACCCTGGGTTGGAGTTTGCGTGTATGTCAGAAAGGACATCTGTTTTCGACGCCTCAGCAGCCTTGAAGGTACGGACCTGTTCATCTTATGGCTGCACGTAGACAGCGACGACCATCCCCGCGTCTACGGGTGCCTCTATAGGTGCCATAGCGGTAATGCCGAAACAGACCGACTCATCGACCACGTTCAGATGGCTACAGACCACATGTAGCACGGCTACAACAGATCCCATTCGCAGATTGTGATACTAGGAGATTTTAACGCCTACCACGCTGAATGGCTTCGTTCTCGTTTAACCGATCATGCGGGTAGATCTGTTTATTATTCTATATCTGTTTATTATATAGATCTGCTTTGGCATATGGTGTAACACAACTGGTTACCTCGCCTCTCATCCGGACGGATATCAGGTACTCCTAACTCACGTACTCATCGCGGTTGCGTACTGCAGGTTGCCGCCGTGTTTGGCATTATAGGTCAGCAGACTGGGACGGGATGCGATCTTTTTTTGCATCCTACCCTTGGGGGCGGGTTTGCTTCTCGCCGGATGATCCCAGCGTTGTTGCTGATTCTGTCGCTGATGTGGTGCTACAGAGAATGGAACTTTTTATTCATAGACATAGACATAGGTTTTATTAGCATCAATACACTCACAAAATGTACATTTAAAAGTAAATAAGAACATAAAAACAAACAAGGTACAAGATGGTAAACATAATTAAAAATAAGTCTCGGCAAGAGTGAGTGATGTGATGCCAAAAAGGATTCCGTCTCAGCATATGCTACCACAGGTACTGAAGCAGCGCTGATTTTCAGCGGAGCCCTGAATAGTATTTATACGATAATGCGCCCGCGTCGTTATCGGTGCTAACATTCCATTTAAAAAAAACCATTCACTCAAAGTGTACATTTTTAAGAATAAACATAAGTGTTAAAAAATACATATACATACACGTGCATATACACACTCGCACATAAAAATATATTACATTTTGCATTGTACTATATACATTTTAATAGTATATATTTGTTAAACGGTACTTATGAAATAACCTGCCACTACACGTGATTTTTGATATGTTAAAAGGTGTTTTTTTAGTAGAGCTTTAAAACCGTTTACAGGTTTAGATTCCCGTAAAGGTGGTAGTAAATTATTCCAACATTTAGTGGCCATGTATCTTAAATAATTAAAACTGCCACGAAACGCGGCTGTTCGGTGATATGGGATTGCCAGAATTGGTGTACCCGTTCTGATGCTTCGACAATCATCTGCTCTTCTCCATTTTAATTTTTGAAAGAGGTATTCCGGTCTTTCTGATTTTATGCATCCGAACAGAAGCGTAGCTAGATGTAAATCTCTCCTCAATGACATACTTAATATGTTCGACTTATTAAGATATGGATGTACATGATGCTATCGAGGAATATTAAAGATGTACCTTGCACATGCGTTTTGCACCCTTTGTATTGACCTATTTGTTTTAGCAAATAGTCTAGGACAATACACAGTATCTGCGTAGCCGAATTTCGAAAGTACGAGTGACTCACATAGGCGCAAGCGGACGTTCTCACTGAGATAATCACGCATTAGGTAGACTACTTTGAGTCTATACAAACAGTTGCGTGTGATCTCAAGTACATGATTCTCAAAGCGAAGACCCTGGTCCATCAGCAATCCTAGATTACGAGTCTCACTTACACGTTCCACCGGTTCTCCACGTATGCTTATAATAAATTTCTTTTTCATTTTACGATCAACTTGTCCCTTTGACCCTAACAACTTGAATTTTGATTTGCATGGGTTGAGCACAAGTGTATTCGCTTCTGACCATAATGAGATGCGATGCAAATCCTCATTTATTTTTGCTAATGCATTTTCTTCTTCGCTAGGAAAAAATGGGAGATAAATCTGTATATCATCGGCTTATAGGTGGAACTTGCTGTGCCTTATATGGTGACATACGTCTGCTGTGTATAAAATAAAAATAAGTGGACCAAGTATAGATCCTTGAGGTACTCCCCTGGTTACAGGGCATGGGGACGAGCACAGCTGAGTGCCATCGTTTTTGTTAATAGTTACTATCTGTGTCCGATTGGATAAATAGCTGTCGAACCATCGAACAGCAGGCAATTCAAAACCATAGTAACTCATTTTGGATAACAACAATGGAATATTTATGGCATCAAATACTCGAGAAAGATCAAGCAAGACCAGTAACGTGCCCTGTCCATTATCTTGTGATGTCAAGATATTGTCAACCACATCCATTAAGGCTATTGATGTACTTGTGGCGACATGCAATTTTGTCATTCTTTTGCATGTTTAGGTAACGGCGTACGCGCCGACGCGAGGTTCGTGTCGGTTGCGGTCGGGAATGCTCGGCTCCGTTAAATCTGCTTTCGTGACAGTCCGGGCGCCTTCGGATTTTACCGGCAGTCTGCATTAAAACGGCCTCAGCGCTAGACCCAACGCTCGCGCCGCCAGAATAACGGTTATTTTAAATCGCGACTAACTTATTCTCGGTTTCCTATCTCAAGCACTCCTTACTTCTAATTAATTGTATTTTCTTATTCATTTCTTTTTTATCTTTGTGGCTTCGTGCTTGTAATTTTAACTATCTTTGTAAAAGAAGAATATATACATTTTTAGAAGAGTGAAGACGCTTTTATTTGCCTAGCAACCAAGCCCACAAGTGGTGACCCCGAGAAGAACATAGCGTACAAAGTACAAAAAAAATGTGGCAAGATGCTAGCGCAGACGCAGCGAAAAGCAGCACTAGTGACAAGGGAGCGGTACTTTGCCGAGTAGGCATTAAGATGCCGCCATTTTGGCCCGAGAAACCGACGCTTTGGTTTGCACAGTTGGATTGCCAATTCGCATTAGCGAATATTACATCGGATGTCACAAAATATTATCATGTAATATCAGTGTTGGATCCAAAAATTGCTGCGGAAGTCGAAGATCTAATAATTAGACTACCGGCGAACGAGAAATACGACACATTAAAACGTGAGTTGATTGCTAGACTATCTGCTTCAAGAAGCGAGCAAATCAAACAGTTGCTCATGAATGAGGAATTGGGAGATCGCAAGCCAAGCCAGTTTTTGCGGCATATTCGTGGTTTAGCTGGATCAGGGTTCCCAGATGAGATCCTGCGTACCTTATGGTCGAGTCGGCTACCCAGTTTGCTACAAACTATAGTGGCTATGCAAGATAACCTTCCGCTCGACCAACTTGCCCAATTAGCCGATAAAGTAGCTGAGGCCACGCCACAAACGTCAGCACAACAAGTAGCTACCACATCCACTTTATGCTCATCTCCAGCATTCGAAGACCTAAATCGGAAGATTGATGCGCTGACCAAGAGGCTCGATGAAATGTCGACAGACGTCGTGACTTCCCGAAAAGGAGGTCGAAATCCAGCAGCCGGCGCCGCATTCATTCGAGAAGTCGTTCTCGTGCTGATGGCCAGCGATACTGCTGGTATCACTTCAACTACGGTGAGAAAGCAGCTAAGTGTATAAAGCCTTGTAATTATCCAAAAAACTAGTTGGGCGGTCGATAGCTGCGACCGCTGATGAGTGTAAGTCGAACGTTAAGCGTTTGTTTGTCACTGACGCTAAAAGTAAAGTGCAGTTTTTAATCGACACTGGATCTGACTTGTGTCCATTGAGCTTAGTGCGCATGCAGCGACGCAATAAAACTAATTATGAGCTTTTTGCTGCAAATAATACTGTAATCGCTACATATGGTTGGTTAAGTTTATGTTTAGATTTAGGTTTAAGGCGCGCATTTTCTTGGCGCTTTGTAATAGCTAATGTGAGCAAGCCGATAATAGGTGTAGACTTTCTATCCTTTTATAACTTACTCGTGGACGTGCGTAATTCGCGATTAATTGATAATTGCACTTCGCTTACATCAGTCGCCTCGATTGCATTTGCTTGCCAGTGCCCGCACATAAAGGTCATTTCAGGTGATTCAGCGTTCCATCGGATACTCCAAGAATATCCTGATATAATGCGGCCGGTCGGAGCTCCTTTGGAGCCGAAAATCAAGCACCATACGCAGCATTATATCAGAACGACCCCAGGCCCACCTGTGTGTTCGCGACCAAGGCGACTAGCACCTGATCGCTTAAAAATCGCGAAGCAGGAGTTTGAAGAAATGGTTCGTACGGGTATAGCGCGTAGGTCGCAGAGCTCATGGTCGTCACCCCTCCATTTAGTGCCTAAAAAAGGCGAAGGTTGGCGACCCTGTGGGGATTACCGTGCACTAAATGCTCGCACGATACCAGATCGATACCCAGTACGCCACATTGCTGACTTTTCGCACAATCTCTTTAATTGCAAAATTTTTAGTAGATTAGACTTAGTGCGAGCGTACCATCAGATACCGGTTGCGATAGAGGATGTAGAGAAAACAGCTATTACGACACCCTTCGGACTTTTTGAATTCCCACTAATGAACTTTGGCCTGAGGAATGCCTCGCAAACCTTTCAGCGCTTTATGGACGAGGTCCTCAGGGATCTCGAGTTCTGCTTTGCGTACATCGATGACGTATTAGTTGCTTCCGCTAATGAGATAGAGCACCAGGAACATCTACGTGCGGTATTTTCGCGTTTCAGCGAATACGGTATTTTATTAAATACAAATAAGTGTGTATTCGCCGTGCCGCAGGTGGAGTTTCTGGGCTACCTAGTTTCTTCGGAAGGCACTAAACCGGTTGGTGACAAGGTGAAGGCTATTCTTGACTTTAAACTACCTGAAACTATCAGGGATCTTAGGCGGTTTTTAGGAGCATTAAACTTTTATAGACGCTTTATACAGGATGCTGCCAAGCTTCAGGCTCCTCTCCATGCACTACTTAGTGGTCCATCGGTGAAGAGCAAGAGCAACATTAACTGGACTGCTAACCGAGAAAGCGCTTTAATGCTTGCAAGGCAAGCATTGCTAATGCCGCTCTTCTGGCTCATCCAGATATGTCTGCTCCGTTGGCCATAGTAACTGACGCATCCAACTCCGCCATTGGTTCAGTATTGCAGCAGAAGGTCCTAGGTCATTGGCAGCCGTTAGGATTCTTTTCTCGTAAGCTTTCACCAACGCAAGTTAAATACAGTGCATATGATCGTGAACTCTTAGCTATTTACGAGTCAGTAAAATATTTTCGATATATGATAGAATTAAAACCCTTCTTTATAATGACTGATCATAAACCAATTATTTCAGCCTTTAAGAAGTCTCGCGACGCTTGCTCTCCGCGACAATTTAGATATTTAGATTTTATATCCCAATTTACAACGGATATCCGTCACATTACCGGGAAGGACAATGTTGTTGCGGATGCGTTATCAAGAACGGATGCGCTAGACCCTATTGCCTTAGCAGCTTCTCAGGAAATGGACTCGGAACTCAAAAATATTTTACGAACCGGTTCGTCTCTCAAGTTACAGAAGGTCTGTATTGGTGGTACCAAAATCTTCTGTGACATATCTGGGCCCAGACATAGACCATTCATAACACCTGCATTCCGTAAAATGCTTTTTGACAATATTTATGGACTTAGTCATCCAAGTGCTAGGGCCACTATTAAACTGGTGACTGAGAGGTATGTATGGCCGGGCATTAGGAAGGATTGCCGGAGTTGGGCGCGCTCGTGTATCTCATGCCAGAGATCGAAAGTATCGAGACACGTACACGCCCCTATCCAGGATTTTAAGCTTCCTACGGCCCGTTTCTCTCATGTTCACGTAGACTTGATAGATCCACTTCCCGTCTCTGATGATTACCAATACTGCTTCACAGCTATAGATAGGTTTACCAGGTGGCCAGAGGCAGTACGCAGATCTTTACAACCACCTTATGCCGGTCCGTATAAGGTAATAGAGCGCGGTAAAAAAAAATTCAAAATCGACGTTGCTGGTAGAATAGTCAACGTCTCGATCGACAGGTTGAAACCGGCCTATATCCTGACGGATGAACCAGGTAGTTCTGGTGCGACGTCGACTATGCCTAGAACGCATGGGACTAACGCTGCGAGTGATGGTACAAGAGCACTTTCAACTCCTCCGCAATTTAGGACGTCTCGCTACGGTCGCCGAGTACGATTCCCTGATTTCTATCGACCCTAAAGATCTCCGGGGGGGCTGATGTGGCGACATGCAATTTTGTCATTCTTTTGCATGTTTAGGTAACGGCGTACGCGCCGACGCGAGGTTTGTGTCGGTTGCGGTCGGGAATGCTCGGCTCCGTTAAATCTGCTTTCGTGACAGTCCGGGCGCCTTCGGATTTTACCGGCAGTCTGCATTAAAACGGCCTCAGCGCTAGACCCCACGCTCGCGCCGCCAGAATAATGGTTATTTTAAATCTCGACTAACTTATTCTCGGCTTCTTATCTCAAGCACTCCTTACTTCTAATTAATTGTATTTTCTTATTCATTTCTTTTTATCTTTGTGGCTTCGTGCTTGTAATTTTAAACTATCTTTGTAAAAGAAGAATATATACATTTTTAGAAGAGTGAAGACGCTTTTATTTGCCTAGCAACCAAGCCCACATACTACGTGCCTTTCTGAATCCGGATTGAAAAATATACTATTACACTCTAAAAAAGTTGAAAGCTGCATACATACGATTTTCTTGAGAACCTTTGATAAACAAGGTAGAATACTAATTGGCGTTAAGTCTTTTATATCTGACATTTTTTTTTGGTAGAGGCTTAACTATGGCTGTTTTGCAGACGTCGGGAAAAGTAGATGTGCGAAGTGAAGCGTTTATAATGGCTGTTATAATTTTGAGTGTATCCAACAGTTCAAGAGATATTCCATCACTGCCCAATGCATTTGATTTAAGTGATCGTATGACTTTTGAAACTGTGGTTTCATCAGTGGGCTTTAACTAAAAAGACACGTTTCCAAAACGATGAAATTCGTAATAAGTAAGACTCGACATTGGTGTTACACTTTTACCGGGTACCGTACAAAAATGAGGTTCAGTCTGTCCGGGCTTTGTAAGTGCTCAGGGATTTCAGTAACACGGTGCTTGCTGGCTAGATTAGAATAACGCTTCAGGTTTTTTCCAGAGAACTTTAGAATTATTCAGGTTACGGTATAAACCGTAGTATATAAATACTGATTAAAATACGCACGCTTTTCATTTTGTAATGCTGTAATTACATGACTCATCAGCTCCTTGTAATAATCTCTGTGCCTGCTCAGACCAGACGAACGATAACGCTTATAAGCTTCATTACGTAATTTCATCATCTTACGGATAGTATATGTAATCCAGGGATATGTATTTTCTTTAATACGAGTACTTTTGATGTCTATACGCATGGCAATCAAAAACGAAAGTTATGGCGTTGTTAAACTGAAACACCATCGGTATAGACTCGGTATAAAATCCACTTTTACCTTTGTGACTACAACATCACTACAAATTATATCAAGTAATATTGAGCTATGATCAGTGAAATGTGTAGGCTGTGATTACGTATTGTGTTAAATTAAAATATTTTATGAAATGATTAAATTTCTCTGAGTTACGATCACAATTTAATAAATTAATGTTGAAATCACCTAGTATTATTATATAGTCAAAAACGGAAAAAGAAGACATAGTATCGGTAAAAGCATCAAAAAAACGTGTCAACATCTAGCCATGGCGAACGATATGCCGTGCCTATGATGTGTTTTGTCCCATTTATGTTTAAACTAAGCCACATTTGCTCGACTAGGGATGCAGTAGGGTGTATGCACACCCGGGCAGTCATTGTGCGACGTACGTAAAAGCCTACCCCACCACCGGGTGCTCGTATCGTCTCAGATCGCGGAATATGACGTAGACGGTAATTGGGAACTATAGGTGCACGGCCATCCTCACCTTCTCGAAGCCAACTCTCATTTATGGCCATGATATCTACGTCATGCTCTTGCATTGTAACTATAAATTCATCGTGCCTTATTCCTAGGGAGCCTGGGTTAAGAAAGCCAACCTTAACTTTATTTATTCTCGCGCCCTTGCTAAGAAAAGCTGTTTGAAGCAAATAATATGTTTATATAAAAATAGAATTGTATAGGCAGCTACAAATAACAGCAATGTTATGTACAAGGCGTTATAAAACAAGTTATATAAGCAACAGTAACGACTATATAATCGGGGATTATTCATAATTAAATTGACTAGCACAAATATAACGAAAATCAAGCAATGCAATAGGATATACAAATATATAAATACGGAAACATACGTTATAATTATATATAACAAATAACAAAAATTTATTAAGTTAATACTAATAACGTAACACCTTCTTCATGAACAAATATTTGAAATATTGGCACCACATCACTCATGATGAGCCCTGCGACAAATAATAAGATAATAAGCATGAGAATGTGTTGCGGCAATAAACAATTAGGCGCAGAAAAATAATCGAAGTATAACACACAACACCGATACACTTCGTTATAGATTGTTCGGAAAACATATAAGCCATAAAAGCACACTAAGCACATTAAATATTTTATGAAAAAAATTATTTTTCTATATATTATTATAAGCCAACAGCATTTTCGCCAAAAACCTTTTTGATGTCAAGGTCGCATCCTATACGACGTGCTTCAGTATCGTTTCGACGTCTAACGTAAATACGACCATCACGCGTCCATACATATTTCCAGCCATGCTTTGAGGCCTCTTGGCGGACCTTATAAAAAAGCTGACGGTTTATACGCGTCAGACGTTCATTGACATAAAATTTTCTTGGCGGGCCAGGCTGATTGAAGCCGGCACTATCAACACCTCGACGCACCCTTGCACTCCGCACTAGTTGATCACGCAATGAACGCCGCATCAATCGCACCACTAACGGCCGCGGTTTAGGTATACCTTCTCCCTCAACACAGCTGCGCGGCGGCCCCATACGTTCCGCATTAACAATATCCTCCTCAAACAACTTCACAGCCAGTTTTTCGGCAATGAGAATAGCGAGATGTGTCGGATTTTCGCCTTTAACTTCTGGGAGGCAGGAAATTGCTTCATCCATAAGAAGTTCCTGCATAATTTGTGACCATTTGTCATCGGAGTTACAATACTCTAATGGTGAAGACGCTGAAGATTCGCTATTATTAAGATCTGTTCGCACCTTAATTGGCGTATCCGAATTGTCTTTACGCGGCTGTTTGCTTATACAATTCGGACACATCCATTTTTGCGACTTCTTAAAGCTCTTAGGCATTTTAAGACATATTCGATCATAAACACTGCTACACCCAGTAGATTTAATGCCTTCCGCAGAACTGACAAATCGCCCACATGCAGCACACTTCGACATTCTAACGTGTGTAGAAGTACAGAAGCTCCAGTTCTATACACAGCGATGAGAAGTAAATAAATAATACGGATGACGTTACCCGGTAAGCAGTTAGCGAAGCGTAGTTTTGTGACTTACGTCACTAGCTGGGTGGCTCAATTGGCGCGACGCAGCTTGTCGAACAAACTCTGCGTACGAGGTTCAAAACTCAGAAGACTCCGCAAAAAGGATTTTTACTTTCGGAACAGGAACCACAGAATATATGTTGTTTCACTCTAGGTCCACCCACGGGGAGGACTCGCTCCGTAAATAACACAAGAGTGATAGGGACCTGAGTCACCCAATGACAAATTTTTAAAAGCGATTTTTAGAATAAAATTTACATCAACCAAATACACGACTAAACTAAACGCAGGCGCAAAACCGAATCAATATATTCCATCATCTGTAGTACCTATCGGAGACAGAACCCAGCCTTGGTTTGGTCGCTCCTGTAAAATTGCACTACGCCATAAGCTGGAGTGGGACTAGGCCTGGGCTCGCGTATCGACGTCTCGGGATGCAAATACCAGCACCCTTAAAAAGAAGTACAATTCTGCCTCCAGGTCCTTCAAAAGTGTCATTGTCAAGGCAAAGTCAGAGCACATCGGCAAAATTTACGATAAACTAGTTCGTCTTCTTTCGGGAACACGTGAATTCTGGTCTCTCGCCAAGGCTGTCCAAGGGAACTTCTGTCAGCCATCTCTCCCATCTCTGCACAGGGAGGACGACTCATCGGCCCATGCCGCAAAGGACAACGCTGATCTGCTGGGCTTTCTCTTGCGTCCAACTCGACTCTTGATGACGGGGGGAACACACTGCTGACCATCCCGCGGAGTGAGTGCTCCATGCAGCATGTCCTGTTTACCCAACGCTCAGTGCGCAGAGCACGTCAACAAGTCGTGTGGGTTGGATGGCGTCCCTCCTATTGTGCTGAAGACGTGTGATCCGGAGTTGGCACTGGTTTTAACGCGTCTTTTCCGGTACTCCTACTCCTTCGGTGCAGCCCTGAAATCATGAAAGATGGCCCTCGTGCACCCGATCTCTAAAAAAGGTAACCGCTCTGATCCGTCCAACTATAGGCTTATCGTCATCACATCCTTGTTCTCTAAAATAATGGAATCTATTATTAACAGCCAGCTCATGCGGTACTTTGAAGAACACCAGCTGATTAGTGACCGCCAGTACGGTTTCCGTCGCGGTAACTCGGCTGGTGATTTTCTGGGTTACCTAACTGATAAATGGGTGTAGGCAGTAGAGTCTAATTTGCTAAACAAAGTCTCGGATTAGGGGCGACTAAATCTAGTCCAATTTAACCCTCAGAAGACACAAGTTTGCGCGTTAACCGCTAAAAAGAACCCCTTTGTCGTACCTCCTCAGTTTCAAGGCACTCCCTTGTTGCCTCAGCCAGTATCGGAATCCTTGGCGTCGACATATCGAGTGACGTGCAGTTTCGTGATCACTTCGAAGAGAAGGCCAAATTGGCCTCTAAAAAGCTTGGCGTGCTTAGCAGAGTGGGACAGTATTTCATGACGGCACACCGCCTGCAACTTTACAAGGCGCAGGTTCGGCCGCACATGGAATTCTGTTCCCATCTCTGGGCTGGAGCTCCCCAGTACCAGCTCCTTCCTCTTGACCGCATCCAGCGCAGAGAGGTTCGAATCGTCGGCGACCGAGTGCTTTCCGATCGGCTCGATTCACTGGCGCTACGATTTTCTTTCGCATATAACATGGGGAGTGCTCTGAGAAATTGTTCGGTTAATTTTTTCTTACCTAAAACTGAAGCTCGTTCTCTGGTTGATGAGTGTTTTTATTATAATTTTACCATAATTTATAAACAAAATATTAAAATTTGTTTAGCAATTCCTATTTTTGTCAGCCATTTTGATTGCATAGTGGAGGTGGGCAGAGTGTATCATTTTTGCGATTGGAACATTTGCATCTCGATTACTGAAATGTTCCGAAGCACTGATATGTTTAATTTGGCTCATTTGGATCATCGACTCAAAAGATATAGAATTCAGAATGTTACGTTGCGTCGCGGGCGTTTATTACTGACTATATAATTATTTTTATTATATATTATATAGTTATTGTTATTTATTGTGTCCGTAATAAGGTTGTATAAAATCGATCGTCCTTTATATTTTATCCAGGCTTAGGACTGGCGGCTAGTCCTTAATTTATGGCAAGCTGGCGTATTATTTATGATGAAAAGGAAGAAAGTAAGTCACAATAATTGCTACGCAAAGAAAACCTAAACAGAACTCAGTATGTTTTCGTAAACAGACGCAAACCATAAGCAATTTGACAAGTGCCGGATCAACGTAAAAGAACAACTTGTTAATGTAAACATTATATGCAAAAGACGACCGTATACTATATTTGATACGTAAGCGCCTTAGTGGTCATTTTTACGTACATAAATAACTATAGCGAAAATCCGTACGAGTTGAGTGATACACTTCTCATTTGTTATCTCTTTCTGACTTGTATAGATTGTTATTATTTCGTGCGATCACTCGCCACTCTCTCGCTCGTGGCTCAGTCGCCTTGCGAGCGAGACGCGTCGCGCTAAATGAGTACAGAGCAAAGTAATATTCCAGATCCAAATGATGCATTTGAAACGTTGTTACTGAACCCATCTTTTGAAACACTTCAGTGATTCGAATTAGTGAGTCAGTTCCGTAAATAGTTACACATGCATAGTTCGAAATTAACATCGTCAGGACTTGGTACAGTAACGGTTAGTGCGGGTTAAAATTCAGCTGATTTACGAAGATTCCATAGTAAGTACGCTTGTTTTACTGTTTTAAAAGGTACCGATTTATTAGACGTATAATTTACTATTTAATAATAAGGCTACAATTTGACTGAATTAAACGTGTCTTTTGACAAAAGTTTTATAAAAAACCAATCTAAACTTAAAGTCCGTTACGTCTAAAGTGGTTCAAAACGACTATAAATCGATAGCACGCTACAGACTATAAACTATAAATTTCTAGCGCGCTATTAAATACGCTAGGTTATAGCGTGCTATTTTTTAAGAAAGCGTGTAGGAGTCCGGCAAGCGCGTTAAGTTTTGCAGCACGCTATATCTCGTAGCACGTTACATTACATGTCGTTAATTGGATAGACCGCGTGCTATATAAGAACATTATTTGGTAATAAGTCACAATTTAGACTAAAATAAAATAAATAGGAAAAGAAAAACCAATGAACGCTTTTTCATACTTTTCAGGCTTACGACTTTCTCTACTTAATCCTAAAAATATTTTTAAGGCATTTACAAAACGATATAAAATTAATTATTTTTTGTTATAATTGATGTAAACGTAATTTAATATTAATATAAATTATAAATCAAATAAAGGTGTTTTAAAAGTTTTTTAATTGTATTTATAAAAATCAACTATTTACATACACTTTTGTATCTATATTTTATTTACATTTAAAAACATTAGTTAGGTTTATTTTACAGCAGCGCTATAATATGGCGCTATGCGCTATATTATAATAACCATCATTAGTTACGTACACCTGAGAAACATTAACTCAGAAGATAGTGGAACGTAAAGCCTCATTTACACTATGAGTTTTATGAAATACCTAATAAAATAATTTCATATTAATTATATTTGAACGTAGTTTTGTTCTGCATCTTTTTATATAGCCTGCGCACCAGCCGAGGCTTCAAGCTATATGTTTTTTTTATTAAATTGTTTCTATAGACGCGAAGTTGCTATGTATGTTTTAAGCTAAAAGTTTAAGTAATACTTTTAATGTTATCCGTAATGTAATTTTTGTATTATGTACGTACTTTAATCCTTGTACTGTGTCTGGGAGAAGACCCTGACATTAAAGATACAGGCTCTGCCTAGTTTAGATGCCAGTAGCTTTAAAGTAGTTGTAGAAGTAATTGTGTAATATTAGTTTTGATTTTTTGCTGTTATCGTGTCTACTTAATCTTAAGGACGCAGCAGACGGTTGCTAGAGTAATTTGAAAAAAATGAAATTTGAATTCAAGCAGCGTACTGCGGCTTTGCCTTTCAACCGTTTCAGCGTGATTGAATTACAAATAAATATTCATTTTTTTTACATTGATTATATCGGTAGGATTTAATCATTTATATTGGTTTAGTAGGTGTCAAAATGGCTCTCACTCCTGCGGAGTGAATAAAAAAATATAGAAAAGAAGTTGAAAAAAGATCCACAAAATACGAAAAATTCAAGAAAAAACATGCATTTCGAGTAAAATGTAAAACTAAAATGATATTTGAGCTAACAGAATACGAGAAAGAAAAAGACGGGAAAATGGAGTGAGCAAAAATGGAAGCAGAAAAAAAAACTAAGGGCAAAAGTGAACAAAATATAATATCATCTACTTTTAATACTCTAAATAAGAAGAGGACGTAAAAAAAAGATCAGCCCGTAAATATAATGCCGCAATAAAAAAAATCTAAATTTTAAAACAGCTTTGAGACGTCAAGAAAACATATATCGTTATAAAAAAAAACAAATAAAAATACGTGTGGCACTCGGTGACTGCCGCGGTAAAGCTATTGCATAGCATTTTTTATCAACTTACGCAATTATAATTATTTATTTGTTTTATTTATGCAGTTAAGTCTTTGATATTAAATCAAGTTATACTTTTTGAGCGTGGTGACCGATAAGAAAACAATTTTTTTTCTTATTGAATAAATGAGAAGTTAATATTGTTTAAAATATTTTTAATATCTTACAATACATGTAGGTTATTCAGGAATTTTTATCATTGAGTTAGCAGCTAGTGTACACGCACACAAACACCGTGCCGAAGTCTGCCGAGTGCCGAAGTCTGCCGAACTGAAACGACGTTAGACGATGCACGGCTTTCAACGCCACACCTCCGTGCCCGTCGGAGTGGGGAAGCGTGAGGTTTTTTTTCGTTACGGAATTTCTGGATTCGGTCCCCGCGCTCAAGGCCCGCGATAGAAGCCATGCAATAGCTTAAAAGTTAAAATTCTAGAAGAAAATATTAGTAAAATGAAAGTTAGAGATGAGCTGTTAAAGAGTTGTCTGAAAACGTCATACGAAAAGTGTAAGTTATACGAAGAAAGGAATGTTTTTAAAACTTTAACTGAAAATGAAGCAACAAAAAAATTAAAAATAAATCATTTGTTTCTAAACTATTAGATCTAAAGGGAATAGCACGAAAAATAACAAAAAAAAAAAAAAACAAAAGAAAATGTAATATGCAAAGGAATACGAAGTTTTTTCTTGAGAGATGATATAAGCAAAAGTACGTATGGGAAAAAAGAGTGCAGAACATTGAAAAAGCTCAAAGACCGGATTAGATACCTTACCGATACGATATTTATTTTGCCATATTTTATAAATATTGCTTAGATGAGACAGATACTCTGTCTCGTCTAAGCTAGCATATAATATAAACTATAAACTGGAGTACTTAATGTGTAACGCAGCGGAAGAAGATTTCAGGTCATTGTCCATTCAAATTGCAATTTTGTCAAAATCTACCGCATTTTTCTCTTACTTTTTGTTATTATAACAAAATTTAGATATTATAGAGTCAATCTGAAGAAAGACACCCCAATATCATGACACTATTTTTTGGCGTCGTTTTGTCATCATACAAACTTTTATAAATCCGGCCTGATACATCATCAATTCATCATATTGTGAGAAGCATCATTATCATCATCATCATCATTACAGCCCCTCACAAGTCCATTGATGAATATATGCCTTTTCTAGGGCATATCACAAAGCACTATTTTGAGAATATTGTTATTAAAATATACATTAGACTTGGTTTTCTTCAACTTATTTTTTATATTTCGACTGAAGGACTCTGTTTCTATGGTTACAATACAAAAAGGTTTTTTTAAAAAAAGTGATTACATTATCTTTGGTTAAGGAGATTTAGCGGGAACTCGATCACCGGCAGATTATTACTGTATTTCAAAATGTGAAAAAGGTGCGATTTTTTGGATTAAATATCTGTACACGTGAACTATTAATGGAATGATGTTACAAGGACTTCGATGGTGATAATATAAATCTCAAGTTTTTTATTTACTTAGGGGCTTAGAGATTTTATTGTCATCAACCGTGCGCTCGATTGAGCTGTCGTTAAAATCTCCAAAAACTTTTCAATTTTCATCTCAAGAAAAATACAAATCAAACTAGGATGTATGGTCTAAGCCTTTTGTCGGCTTTAAATGGCAAATCTTAACAACAACAATCTCTTTGGTTAAAGTAAACTGTCACTGTCACTGATCACTACTGTCAAGTGCAAGAGGTATTTCTTTCCTACTTCTTATTCTTTTCCGGCGAGCCGTGTTGGTTGACGGTATGTTGTTTGTGTAATATTTGGATAAATTGCCAGTGAGTTGTAAAAATATGTGATGCAGTAGATGGTTTAAATAGAAATATTGTTTTCTGTGCAAATAATAATTAAAATGTGGTTAATTTTTTAAAGATGTAAGAAGATTTAATATATATAACCTATCTTTGCCTTAAAGTAGACCATGGCGATCTCCGTAGCCGTCATGTATGGACAATAAGGCTATAGCATTGCCACGTGCTATGATTCCCAGGCGTGAACTTTTGTCATGATTTATAAGTATTTACGCTTGCAACGGCTAGTGGCGACACACCCCCTCCTAATTCTTGTTTTAATTGTTATAATGTTCAATTGTACATACTACATATGTCCATTTATTAACTTCGGTTGATTTTCGCGGCATTTTAGCTCGCCATTATGGTGAACAACCGAGTGCCGTCGGTCTTTTCCAAGACCTATGTAACGCCGCGGCGGCCTTTTGAAAAGGCGCGTCTCGACCAGGAACTTAAGATCATCGGCGAGTATGGTCTGCGTAACAAACGTGAAGTCTGGAGGGTGAAATACACACTCGCCCGCATCCGTAAGGCTGCCCGTGAGCTGCTTACGTTGGAAGAGAAAGACCCTAAAAGGCTGTTTGAAGGTACTACTGGTTTTCATTAATTAGATTCTTGTATTTACGCCAATGCTACATTGATTTCAACTAGTTTTCATGGACTTTATCACGATTCATTTTTTTTACTTTACGTTTCACGTTTTAGTATTTTAAAGCACTCATGTTTAATTTACCACGCGATAAAATCCGTAAAAATTAATTTAATTGAATTGTTTTTTAATTTTAGTGTGTGTCTAAGTAAGAGAACACGTGAAAATACTGATCCTTTAGTAATTGTTGTTCTGTCATGTAATATGTGACAAAGACAGCAAAATGTTATATTGTTTTTGTCTTTTTTTAAAAATAAAAATATTACGTATGTAGATTAATTCATAAATACTGGCTTAAAATGTGTTTATTTAAAATGATGAGAATTCATCTGGCAACCTCTTGTCAGATCTGACTGTGTTGAATTTCCTTTCACTGAGATATAATTGATATATATAATAAGGATTTTTTGACTTTCTGTTTTTATAATAAAATGATTACTCATAGGTAATGCACTGCTCCGTCGTTTGGTGAGGATTGGTGTGCTGGACGAGAAGCAAATGAAGCTTGATTATGTGCTTGGTCTCAAAATTGAGGACTTCTTGGAGCGCCGGCTACAGACACAGGTGTTCAAGGCTGGTCTTGCTAAATCAATCCACCATGCCCGCATCCTTATCAGACAAAGACATATTCGGTAAGTTTGCTATGTTTTCATAAAATGGAATTACTACTCGTGCAGATAGAGAATGGGATTATAAATAGTGTCTCATCCATTCCCTTCTTGCTTGCACACTGCTGATGTATATACTCAAACCTGCCAGAAATAACCACAAAAAAATAACACATGTTATCTGTTTGAATGGTTGCGATAAGTGTTTTCATTTAGAGTAAAAAACCAAATGTACAATATTCTTTTTAAGTATTAATTTGTTTTCCAATTATTAAATTACCATAAATAATATAATTTGTTAATTATCTATGAAAATTGCAATTGTAATGGCATCTATAATTTTGAACATCTTTTTGGTGTTGAAATTGAAATATCTTCTTATTCATCAGCCTGTTAGTAGAGTTCACTGCAAGACATAAGCTTACTGTTGGAAGGAATTGCTTTAATCAGGAAACTCTTGGCAGGTGGATCACAATACTGCATTTTTCACAGTATTGACGCCACTTCCTGTCTGCTCTAAATATTTTACATCTAGCATGTTAGGTGGTTATACTTTCCATGTCTGACTATGGATGATCGATGTTACAGAAACATCGATATTGATGTTGGTATCGATGTTCAATATTTAGCCTACTCAAAACATCGATATTGGCCTTTATCTATGTTTTTTGCACATGTACCTGTTTAAAAGGTTAAAATTAGAATAAAAAAATAATAATTTTTTGTGGTTTATTATCAATGAAATAAAAAAAATTGTGTCAAACAGTGATAAAAATGAGAAGTTAACAAATATCTAGTTCATTTGAATGTTATTATTTTGATCTTTAAACAGAAACAATTTAGACGTAGGTTTTATATCAACTACTCCTATCGCAAAATAAAAATATTAGGGAATAAAATAACAACCTACGCAAAAACAAAATAATAGGCTTTTCTGTGACCTTTGTTCACAATTTTTAGTCAGGCGGCCCAAGCAATAAGTATCCACAGTCGTTTATAAAATGCACAGTCAAATGTGCTATATAGTGAAATTATCTATTCTCGCAATTGTGTGCAGTCATTTTTTTTTTCATAAACTTCAAGTAAGCAATAAACTAGTGACAGGGTCAAAAAACAGCTAAATGTAATTTAATTGTGTAGATACTTACATATTGTTTCAAAATTAGTGGGTCTAGACAGCAAGGGAAAAAACAATTATTATTTTGAATATTAACCACTCATGATCCGTCAGTCTATGGACCTATTAGTCTGACCTATGGTCAAGCCAAAGAGTATAGTAGGTATGGCCAAAGCCAATTTTTTTAAATGAAGGTAAATATAACTTAGAGTCATTACCATGTTCTTCTCCAAAAATAAAAATTATCTACAATTAAAATATCGAATTATTTGTATGAAGGTCACGTGAGCTCTAGAGAAACGATTGTAAGACGTTGTTGACAAATAAAATGTTTAATGAAATAGTACAGTAAAAATAGAATTTAACATTGCACGAAATTTCCGATTCAATTTTATTTTTTTTTATGAGGTTTAGGATCACTTATTCAGCATAAAATCACAAAATGCCACAGATCCAGGTGGCGCTTCAAGTGCAATCTTGAAAAAAACTTTTTCAGCCGATATCTCGGTAACTATGCACTGTAAGGCAAAAGTTATATAAACCATTATTGTAGAAAATAAAATTTCGCATCTTTTGTTTCCAGTAAACTTTTTTGTAAAATTTACCGTTTACGATTTATGGCCCATTTAATGAACAGGTGGCGCTTCAAGCGCCATCTTGAAAAAACGTTTTCAGCCGATATCTCGGAAACTATGTAATTTACGGCAAAAGTTATACATACAATTCTTGTAGAAAATAAAATTTCGCATCTTTTGTTTCCAGTAAACTTGTTTGTAAAACTTAACGTTTACGATTTATGGCCCATTTAATGAACAGGTGGCGCTTCAAGCGCCATCTTGAAAAAACGTTTTCAGCCGATATCTCGGAAACAATGCAATTTACGGCAAAAGTTATACAAACCATTATTGTAGAAAATAAAATTTCGCATCTTTTGTTACCAGCAAACTTTTTTGTAAAACTTACCTTTACGATTTATAGCCCATTTAATGAACAGGTGGCGCTTCAAGCATCATCTTGAAGAAACGTTTTCAGCCGATATCTCGGAAACTATGCACTTTACGGCAAAAGTTATACATACCATTATAGTAGAAAATAAAATTTCGCATCTTTTGTTACCAGCAAACTTTTTTGTAAAACTTACCGTTTACGATTTATGGCCCATTTAATGAACCGGTTTTTCTATCGCGGCCAATAACTCTTGAAATATTAGATTAATCAATAAAATGCATAAATTTATTTTGAAAGATCAGTTTATTTTCCAAAACTTTTGTTTGAAACTTTTTTTCTAACATCCATACTTTTTGAGTTATAGGACGTTTCATGTCACGCATAGCTGCCCGCGTCACCCGCCGAGCTCGGCCGACGCTCGGCAGCTACTTTACGATTAAGAATCCGGATTTTATTGCTATTATTTCGGGGAATTCCAAGTAAGACGTCATTATTGTTTACTAACTACGACTTACGGAGTCTCCCTTTTTGAAATTCGAGTTATAGAGTATAAATATCTATTTTTAATATTTCGTAGGGAAATAACATTTTCTTCGAGTTACAAAGTCTAATAGTTCGAGATACCACGTATTTAGGGGTTCAGCCGAAGGGAATGGCAATGTTTTTCGACTTACTGAGGATTTCAACTTAACGAGGTTTGAGTTATAGAGATTCCACTGAATATCATAACACGCATATAATTTTTTAAGTAGAGCGTGTCTATCAGCAACTTAATATTACCAAGTTTTTAAGTTTATATGTGAACTATATGATAATATAATTATTTTTAAATGTTATTTATAATCTTATCTTTGGTTTCGAGTAAACTTAGTGATCATATACTCTATGGTTCTAAGGCGTCCCTCTAAATATTAGTATACTCTTTGGTGCGGTCTAACAAGGAGACATTGACGTCTCCATATGGAGACGTCAGACTTTTAAGGGTTAATTCGTGTAAAATAGTTATCAGAACCAACAACGAAACCACAGAATAACAAAATGTAAGCAATGACAACTGAGACATTTTAGTTCACACTTGATGGTTAGGTTTGAGACAACCCAATGATATTTATTTAGGTGATCGATGTGTATAGGAATTCTGAATTATTCAAAATTTTAAACCTTTAATAGGAGATGCAAACTTCAGTTAATATTGATTTTACAAATTCCCATTGTTCACAAATTCTTATTAATTGATTATTGATTCATTGACATCGATGTTTTGATGTTTGAGATGTATGTGGCAACATCAATGTTTTAATTTGTAACATTGATGATCGTCGGACACCATAAGAATTTCTTGGGTTTTCCAATAGTTCCCTGTTAAGACATCCAAGAGACAAAATGGGGTGTAGGAATATTGTATGCCACCACCATAATTACAGTTTATATTATGTAGGTTTTTAGTAAGTATCTATACATGTCCATTACAAAATTTTTATTCCTTAGTTTAAAGCAAATTAAAAATCTATTCATATAACAATAATTATTGTTTTATTTGAATTGATAGTTGCATCCATATTTTCATTAATATAAAAAAGTCGACTGTCTAATAATTCCCACTGGTTGCGTTTTCTTTTGATGTAAAACCCAGATGTTAAATGTCACAGACATATAAAATTATAAGCAATAGTATGAACACAGACACTGCAACCTTGCAACCAGTTACAGTTAAGGTTTTAGGTTCTTGAAAACATTGCTTTGAAACATGATTTTGAATAACCTATGAATTTGGTCAGTTTATATGGAACACGAAAACAATTTTTGTTGAATGCAAATTTGATGTTGACAATCAACTACAGGTGAGCAGCAACAGTGAAGGAGGCAGCCTCCTTCTGCCTTCCATCTGGCATTGAATTTGTTTTCATAAAGACCACTTGAATCTCAACCCAGTGTTGAGTTCAATGTCTTGAAAATTGAACTTGTACCAAATGCACAGGTAATGTATGTAAGTCAATTTTAAATTATGTTATTAGATATTGCATATCATTTTATCAGCGGGTGTAATTTTTTTATCTAAATTGACAAACACTTGCAAGCAAAAAATTTTAAGAATAAAACCCTTGAACTGCCAGTGAATAAAATCATCTTGGGTGATGATTGGTAGAGAAATGCCATAAGGTATAAAATCCACTCTCTAATATCCCTTATATAATAATGATTAAATAAATAAATAGGCAATACGGACAACTTCGTCAACATATTGTGCTTGAACTTCTGTGAAGGTTATAGGTATAGTTGGACCTTGGTGCTGTTGTAGAATCCAGATATCCCCCATGCGGCGTTGGGGTATATAGCTAGTATTATATAAAATAAGTTAAAAAAATAAAGCTGTTAGTATTATACTTTTATATTTTCTTTAAATGGGTCTTATTATTTGTTAAATATTTCTCAAGAGCCTAGCTATGTATTTTATTTCATTTGAATTGGATAACACATACCTACACTAATTTTCTAGGTAATAAACATACATTTCATCGAGTAATGGGTGTATGATAGGATTAATCATTAGTTTACGTGTGACAGTTATTAAGCACCAATCTAATGGCAATGTTATCTGGCTCTAGTTTTCTTTTTGGGCAGATAAAAGAAAAAAGTGTAAAAGTAAGGTCTGACTTTCAATTGTCAGATAAAAATTAAATCATTTTATTGATCCAACTGTAATTTTTAATTTGTTAAATAAATTTTTTCTAAGGATTTTTTAAAGAATGGGAACGACAAACAAGCACACAGTCCACCAGGATAGAAAGTGGGTACTGTAGCCCCATAGACATCTACATTTATTTATCTTCGTTTAAGAATCAAAAACGCAAATGCATTAGTAACACTAAGGACTGAGGTGGAATACCTTATTTCCAGTAAATAGTCTGATTATCGACACTCACCATATGAAACACAGCAGCATTAAGCTGCTATTTTACGCTGGTATTCTGTGAGCGTGGTACTGCCCCAGTCGAACCAACCTGTTCATGCTACAACCATGATATAGCTGCAAAGTTGCTCTACCACATTCAGGATTGAAAAATCTGCCCTAAGAAAAAGTAAAATATTCTTTTTTGAACCAACATGTGTCTATATAACACCAGTTTGTTTATTTTATCCACAGTGTGCGCAAACAAGTGGTAAACATCCCGTCTTTCATTGTTCGTCTGGACTCCGGGAAACACATTGACTTCTCACTGAAGTCTCCATTCGGCGGTGGCCGGCCGGGCCGTGTCAAGCGCAAGAACCTGCGCAAGGGACAATCTGGCGGCGCCGCTAATGATGACGAGGAAGATTAAACAATAAATGTTGATATTCTGTACTCACTGTTTAATTTCTTCATCTATATATGTAATATATCTCACTTATCACGATATTTCCAAAACTAATACGCTTGATTGACTTGAAATTTGTCATATTAAGGTGCGTCCGTTCATACTTGTGACATGAAATCGGACCGGACTACGTGGCATCGTTACAGCACATGTTACGACTAATGTAATAAAACCGTCCGGTCTGAGTGGTACTGTCACGGTCACAAACCATGTATCCGATGAAATGTTACCAAGTGTAGACGCATGGTGTCGACCTAGACTACGTGGCATCAAGATTCTGTTGGTGCTTGGTGCTGTCATTTAAGCAGCAACCACCATGCAGATGACATGCACATGACCATGTAGTGGCGGTTAAGAATATCCACTACCCCATATCTTCCCGTGGGTGTCGTACAAGGCGACAGAGGGAGACAGGCAGGAGATGGGCAGCAGCGTCTTCCTGATAACAGCAACTGTAAAACAAAAATCTACGGTTGCCAACCCACTCGCCAAGCGTGGCAACTATGGCAATATACCCCGGCGGCCCCGCTATTCCTGGCTACGGTGACTACCATGGTAACGGCGGGGCAGGGGGTGCTAATAATCTCCGGTGGAGGTTCGGTTGCCACCTACGACGACTCGACCTGGCAACATTTAACGCATGCACCCTGAGGACTGACGAGAAGATTCTGGAGCTGGAAGAAGAGATAGACACCTTGCGCTGGAATATTATAGGATTTTCCGAGGTCCGAAGAGAGGGGGAGGACACGGTGATGCTCGAATCCGGCAACTTGTTCTATAACCGGGAGGGCTACCATATGTCCCAAGGAGGTGTTGGATTTATCATCCACAAGTCTCGTTAACAACGTTTTAAAGATTGGGAGTGTATCGACGAGGGTTCCTTACCTTATACTCAGAATCACCAAGCGGTATTCGCTGAAGGTCATACAGGTTTACACGCCAACGTCGGAACATCCCGATGAGAAGGTGTAGGAAATGTATGAGGACATTTCTAGAGCCATGCATTCCTCCAAAACTCACTATACGGTGCTAATGGGAGACTTCAACGCTTGCGCCCTCCTTTCTGCCAAGGAGGGTCGCGTTCGTATACGGCTTAGAGATCTCTAGTTAGACCGTTAAGCCAGTCCCTAAAAGGCGGTGTTTAGTGGGTAAAAGTCTCCACATAACCACGCAGCAGGCTGCATGGTATCCTATGAGCATTCACCGCCTCTCTCCCCCGCTTTCCGGAGGGTTGCCCATATTTGCTTCGGGCGCAAAAAAAAAAACCAACGCAAAACTGGGCACAAGAAAGAACGGTGAGCTGAAAGATAGGGAAATTTGGGATAGGGCAACGGAATCCAAGGGGCCAGCAGCTGGCCGACTTCATGGAGAAAGAGGGTCTTTTTATGATAAACTCTTTCTTCCAGAAGCGGCCCTACAGAAAGTGGACCTGGTCGAGCCCCGACGGTTCAACAAAAATCGAGATTGACTTCATTATGACGACCAGACGCCAACTGTTCAGTGATGTCTCAGTGATCGCAAGGGTGAAAACTGGCAGCGATCACCGAATGGTTAGAAGCACACTGAACCTAAACGTTAAGTTGGAGAGGTCTCGTCTAATGAAGTCAACGCTCCGTGCCCCTCGTGCTCTAATCCAGAATCCCGAAAGCTTTCAGCTCGAGTTACGTAACCGCTATCAGTGCCTAGAAGATTGCAATGCAGTGGACGATATGAATGACAAGCTCATGGAAACTGTCCATGCGGTCGGAGCTAAGTTCTGCAAGACCCGCCGCAGAAGAACACAAAACCTCTCCGATCACACTTTTAATCTCATGGTTGTTAGACGGGAGATGAGTTTGCAATCGTCAACAGATTTGACAGCATACAGGCAACTGAACAGATAGATCTCCAAATGCATGCGGCGAGACTTACGCAACTTTAATACTGCTCGTATTGAAGAAGCGATCGAGCGGAATCAGGGCTCCAAAGTCTTTGCCAGAGATCTGTCTGCCAGAAAGAGCCAACTGTCAAAGCTGAAGACTGAGTGTGGCAGCATCGTTTCCGGGACACCTGAGATTTTGAGTGAGATTGAGAGGTTCTATGGGCAGCTGTACACATCATCGTTGGAGCCACACGCAAGTGTGAGTAACGATCCAAGAGCAAGTCTTATCCGACACTATTCCGATGACATCCCGGACGTCAGTCTGAGCGAGATTAGTATGGCTCTCCAGCAACTTAAAAACGGCAGGGCCCCAGGCGAGGATAGAATTACAGCGGAGCTTCTGAAAGCGGGTGGAACACCGGTACTTGAAGTCCTTCAGAAGCTCTTTAATTCCGTCCTCCATGGTGGCACTACTCCGGAGACGTGGAGCACAAGTGCGGTGGTCTTGTTCTTTAAGAAAGACGACAACGCTCTCTTGAAGAACGCACGCAGACTCGACGACTTCCAGCCTCCCGAACAAGCCGGTTTCCGAAAAGGCTTCAGTACCATAGACCACATGCATACCCTGCGGCAGATTGTACAGAAGACCCAAGAGTACAATATGCCACTTCGCCTGGCGTATGTGGACTATGAGAAAGCCTTTGATTCCGTCGAAATTTGGGCGGTGCTACAGTCTCTTCAGCGGTGAAAAGTTGACTGTCGGTATATCGAAGTGCTGAAATGTTTGTACAGTAGGGCTTCGATGGCTATCCGAGTACATAACCAGAGCTCGAAACCTGGATAGTTTCCAACTGCAGAGAGGTGTAAGACAGGGTGACGTTATTTCTCCGAAACTCTTCACCGCTGCATTGGAAGACGCTTTCAAGCTACTGGACTGGAAAGGATACGGTATTAACATCAATGGCGAGTACATCACTTACCTTCGATTTGCCGACGATATAGTCCTTATAGCAGAATCGCTGGAGGACCTAAGCACTATGCTCAATGACCTCAATGATGTCTCCAAACGGATAGGTCTTAAGATGAACATGGACAAAACAAAGATCATGTTTAATGTCCATGTCACACCTATGCCGGTAGTTGTTGGGAGCACTATGCTCGAAGTTGTTGACGAGTACGTTTACCTGGGACAAATAGTCCGACTAGGTGAGTCCAACATCGATCGAGAGGTCAATCGACGGATTCGACTCGGCTGGGCAGCGTTCGGGAAATTACGACACATCTTCTCGTCAGGTATACCTACCTCAAAACCTGAAAACTAAGTTGTACAACCAGTGCGTGTTGCCAGTGATGACTTACGGATCTGAGACGTGGTCCTTCACTGTTGGCCGTATGAGGATGCTCAAGGTTGCTCAGCGAGCTATGGAGAGGGCTATGCTTGGAGTTTCTCTGCGTGATGGACTCAGAAATGAGGATATCCGCAGTAAAACCAGAGTGACCGACGTAGCCCAACGGATTAGTAAGCTGAAGTGGAAATGGGCCAGCCATATGGTTCGAAGAACCGACAACCGATGGGGAAGAAAGGTTCTCGAGTGGCAGCCTCGTACCGGTAGGTGTAGTGTAGGACGACCCCCCACTAGATGGAGTGACGACCTGGTAAGACATGCAGGAAGTCGATGGATGAAGGTGGCTCAGGACCGTGCTTTGTGGCATTACTTGGGGGAGGCCTATGTTTAGCAGTGGACTTGTGGAAGAGCTGTAATGATGATAATGATGATGATGATGACACCATGCAGATATTTCGTATGTAGAAGAAATAGCGGAAGTTAACCTTTTGAGCGCCAAAGTCGCCTATACTTGACTAGCACCTGCGGGCCCTAAGCGCCAACGACGTCTATAGTTGACAAAAAACCCGGCCCACAAAAATATGAAATATTGATATTGGAAAATTATTACTGGTATTTTAATTCTACACTCCTCAAAAAAGAATAACGCTGCAATATGCGAGTATAAAAAACAAGTCAAAGTACTATGAAACATTGAACTAAAAAAATGGTTTTTTATCTAAGCAAATAATACGTAGACAGAGAATGTCCAGTACGCCCATGGAGGTTAAAGAACAGGAGAACGATCGCTGTAGAAAATAATTTCCCAGAAATATAGACAAAATAAGTGAGGCACTGCGATCGCCAAGTTGTCTGAATAAAAGCGGGTTGTTGTGCGCTAGTTTGAAATGATTATACTATCGTTAAAAGAAAATAACGAAATTATTATTATTTATTAATAAATAAATTATGTTTTTTATAATTTTAATTATTACAAATATTATAAATTATTAACTATTATTGATTTATATTATTTCATCATTTTTTAATGTTTCTTTTCTTTATGTCAATAACTAAAAAATTACTTCGCAGATACTAGGTACTTACCGACGGTACCGCGGCTATAAATTATATAAATTTTCAGGGACAGGCAAGATTCGCTTTAGTACGTAAGCGATCGCTCCCCTGTTCTGTAACTTCCATGAGCACGCCCATGAAGATTAGAGAATAGGAGAACGATCACTACGTACTAAAGCATAGCCCGCCTGTCCTTGAAAATTGTACAATTTATAGCGGCGCTGACGTCGGTGAGCAGTGACTGCGAAGTTAGCTGTTTATGAGTACAAGTAGATGAAATTAATTGAATAATGTACAAATTTACATTACAAAATTTTCATGCTCCGTAATTTTGTAATTTTTGATAAAAAGAAACAGAAATAGACACATTTGTGGGTGGCAAGTGGTTTACACTGACTTAGAAGTATATGGACTGGGCCTACCTACAAAATTAGCGTGACTACCTACAAAACTGGCGCATAAAATGGCCACCTTTTATAGGGCTGTAACTCTGATATCTTTTTAATTAATATGAATTTTTTCTCATTTTATATAATTGGATTTGTTGCTTAATTTACTTTATTTCGTAGCTATTTACGTAGATACAGGGCTGAATTTTTAATCGTCAAATAACTTATCTGGCGGATAAATGTGACTGACAGATTTATGGTTTTTGTGTAGATAGAAATTAAATCCTTCTTTTGAGTTTAAAGTATTACTGG